CATATAACCCAGGGGTATCCAACTTAGGGGACTATAAGACCTGAGGACTTCAACTTCCAGAATCCCGCAGCCACTATGACTGGCTGGGGAATTCTAAGAGTTGAAGTTCTCAGGTCCTAAAGTTGCCAAAGTTAGACCTTTCTGATGTTAACCATTAAGGAAATATTCCTGGAAACTTCCTTAACTTCAATTAACTCCATGGTAATTCTTGATTAAATATGAAAATAGTTTGCCATTACCTTCTTCTATTTCAACTTTCCAGTCTAGCTTACAGCCTCAGTAACGAAGCACAGCCATGCTTAGCCTTTTCAAAATCAGCCAGAGTTGGATAAGTACAAACACTGTAATATATGCAATTTTTCTGAGTGTTTCCTAATAAAGGAATTGCCTTGTTGATGTTAACGCAGCAGAGCAATAGAGGTATAATTATTTTATATAGAAATTCATTCATTTCATTTTCTGATTTTTTTTCAATACAACACCATAAACTTCCTCCATTCAAAGTCAATTTTTTTGTGACTTCACCATTAACAGAAAAAATACTTTGGGTGGCTCAGCTGTTATTTTTTTTCCACAGTAAAATGCCAATAGTATTGGAGGCGTTCTAGCTCGGCCAAGTGTCTTTCAGTTTCTTGTAGAGTTTCGGGCAATGTTAAGATATCTTGGATAGTTAAGTCACATAATGCCTTAGGGTTTGTTCCAACAAGCTCCAGGAAGCCCTGGAATCTGTCATATTCAAGAAACACATTTATAATTGTTATCTCATTTGTTATTCAAATATGTTTATTGGATCTGGTGTTGAGTTTGTGTATATAAGTGTGTGTGTGTGTGTGTCTGTCTGTGTGTTTATGTGTGCCTTCGACTCCTTGCAACTGCTTGGGCGAGTTCTGGAAATCTTTTCAGAAGAGGTTTGCCATCGCTTTCTTCTTCCTGGGCTAAGAGAGAAGAACTAGCTCAAAGTCACCAGCTGGCTTCATGCCTAAAACAGGACTAGAATTTACAGTCTCCTGGTTGCTAACACGGTGCCTTTAACCAAGACATTAAATAATAGAGTAAAGCAGAGTAGAGTAGAGTAGAGTAGAGTAGAGTAGAATAGAATATTTTTATTGTCATTGTGTAACTCCCGACGAAATTAAGTGCTTTCTTGGCTCTCTTGTATGTTGATACACTGGATTTTACTCAACTAATATTTTGGTACACTTTAGTTGTCTTTTTGTTGCAATACTGAGTCACCCTCACTATTTGTTATTTGGGGGGGGCTATTTAAAAATGCTGATTATTTCCTTTAAAGCATAAATCATCCAGACATCATATGAACCAAATTTCTCTGCCATCTGAGAAGGGCCTATAGGTAGTCTGTAGAGCAGATACTTTATACAGATATCAGTTTAATTTCTCAGCATCTCAAGTAAGGCTGGGAAGAGAAAATATTAACACTCTACAGAGCTGTCATCTGTAGTTTTTATCAAACCAGATGGATTAATTAAAGAGGTCGATCAATGCAGGCTCTTTAACCTTCCCTCCAAGCCTTGTGTAGTCTCTTTTCCAAGTTTCTCCCTTTGGTTGTTCTTAGCTTGGGTATTTGAGAACTTATCAGACAACGTTAGAATTTGCAAACTAAAACTACTCTTACGGTTTTATTGCTATTTATTTTATTTGGTTGGCAATGTTAAATAAATATTTGATGTTTGTTGTGGCTGCAACCTCAACTCCTCCTGGAACTTACTAACCTGACTGGTAATTTTACAATCAATTCACATGATGTGCCCTGCGCAAGTTTCAAGATTTCTTTCATAGTTCACTAAAGAAGGAATAAAAATGTCATGTTGGGTTTTCAAACATTATGATTTTAGCATAAAAAGAAGTCAAGGAAATGTTTTAAAAAACAAATGAAGAAGCAAACCCAAACGGAGCAACAATGATGTATCGTAATTGTTGAAGATCTGTACTTCATTTATGTTATTTCTCAACCTTGGGTCTTCAAGATGTTTGGACCACAATTCATGCATGCTGTCTGGGGAATTCTGGGGGTTGAAGTCCCTACATCTTAAATAAACACGAGCTTGAGAAACATTGGTCTCTGCCATCTAGAAAGAATCTATACTATTCCACAGAGGGCTTTGATGTAAGACGTGAAACATTTTAGAGTCCCCAAGTCTGAGAAAAACTGGTTTAGACTGTTCTTTCACAGTCCGTGCAATATGGCTCTCACAACTAGATTTTTTTCAAAAGACTCAGAGAGGAAAGGATACAAAAGAAGAGTTTTAAAAATTCTATTTATTTATGATAAGGACAAGACTGCAAAAACTTCTAAAAGAATTAGAAGATTTCATAAGTCTGAAAATGCTGATGTGTTATGCAAGCAGTATTATTTTGAAATGAGCTAAAATATTCACACTGCAACAATTCAGATACAACTGAACTAGGAGGCACCATATCTCAGAAGAAGTAGAAGGAAAGAGATATTGAAAAAAAAAATGATTGCAGATCTCAAAAACTTCCATTGTTTCAAATCAATTAAACGTTATCTTATTTTAGCACCTCACATTAAGTTCTAACAGGCTGTGCTAGTCGAGTTCTTTTCTTTCTTCAAAAGATTAACAGAAGAAATGAAAAGCATGAGTAAGTGTGCTGTGGGGAAGTCACTCAGTGCTTACAGCCATATGTGCTTTTAAGTTCTGCTAAAGCATATAGCTGTATTGGCGACTGTTTACCAACCAGAAGTAACTGGCTCTGTTCATGGAACTACCCTTGAAAAGCATCTGGAAGCTTCAGCTGGTACAAAATGCAGCCACACGAGCTAACTTGGACCCCGGAAGAACAGTGCATTGGGTGCTGGCCTACTTCCAGATTCAATTGTAGGTGTTAATTTATGACATTTAAAGCCCTAATGACATGGGACTACCTATGGAACTATCTTTGCCCCATCACATCAGCATGTCCATCCAGTCAGATAGGGAAGGTATGCGGCAGACCCCATCAGTTAAAAAATTCTGAACAGCAGGCCCCAGGAAGAGAGTGTTGTCTGCCATTGCCCGACTTTGAAATATTCCCCCCCCAAAGTGAGGTGAACCCCCAATCTCCAGGCCTTTGAAAGACCTGGCCTTGCCATCTAGCTTGGGACTCCCAGAGGAACACACAGCCATGAGGCTGCTTAATGCCCCCAAAGCCCTTGTAATTGCTACTGTTCTCTTAAGCATCCAAAACAAGGATTGTTATAAATTGATTTATAGTAGTCCCATCCTTCCCCAGATTATATTTCTTGAAGAACTTGCCTGATTGGTTTTTCAAAGAGACTAATAGTGTTTTTTTTCTCTTGAAGTGGAATTTATAATCTTCAGGATTAAACAGCCCACTCATTCTTCATATGGAAAAAAATAAGACAGATGAACAAGCTTAGAATATTTCTGTCTGCACATTTGGTTCACAAGAAAGAATTCAGAACTCTTTTATTTTAATGCAACTATGAATAGAGTACAAATCATGTCAGGTGCCAGGAATGTTACCTTCAAAGTAGAATTACTTATATATATATATAATGTTCCTCAAACTGTTAAAAGTAACAGAGAAAGAAGAGTTCCTGGTGCATTTTGTAACATTTGCTCCCAGAATGCCATTTATCCTAACTGTGATTTTATATGCACTACTGTGATTTACCTTCACCCCACGTGTGTTATGACTCAGCCCTACGGGAAACCAAAGTGGATTTAGGAGAAGACTTTTCAAATGCGTCTATTGCTCTCACTTTAAACAATGAGAAACATTTCTCAGACGAGGGAAAGATTTCTTTACAGTGCTTTTATTTAATTGTCTGGAACTCAGAGGAAAAACTAGGTGTTTAGGAGCTATGATATTTTCTTACTGCATCATGAGTTAAGTGACCCAAAATATTTACATAACCATGTCTTCCAGAGTTCAGACACTTTATTCCTCATTCTTGACATAATTCAGCCACATTTTCTTAGTGGCAGAAAGTGCTGCCACTATGAGGAACATATCATCAGTATTCTACAACAAAGTGGGAAACAACTTCAGTGATTATAGCCTAATAGACAAAACACTGGAGGTTCATTTTAGTTTCATTTATTCAGTAGTCAACCAACAGAATCTGTGGGTATTTAACTTATGCACAGTGTTCTTAATAGAAAAATACCACCTCAATCCACTGGGGAGTAAATAGCATGGGTTTCTTCATTTTGTTCTCTTGCTTGATTTCTTGATTATTTGGTTTACTGACAGGTCCTTGATGCTCTCTGAGCTTGTCTGCTTTCTTGCAAACATTTCATTACCCAAACTAGGTAACTAGGTAATGAAATGTTTGCAAGAAAACAACCAAGTTCAGAGAGCACCAAGGACCCCTCATTTCAATCCTGAGCTACAAATATTCTCCTTTATTGATATTTCATATACTGTCCTACAATTTAGTTTGCCTACTAAGAATCAGAGACAAGATATGTGCAGAGTTATTTATTTAATCATTCACTCCGTTTACGTAAGTGCCCAGCTTGCAACTATGACTGGGCAATGAACATAGAATTAAAAACCAATAAAAAGTAAGGCAAAAAATAATAAGCAGAAGTAAGATGAAAGACATGAAGTCACAGTTCATGCGTAGCTTTCTGCATAGGTGTATATGCTCCATTACTTTAAGGTACCCTATTGCTTTGGGATTCTACGCATACTGTAGAACAGGGTCAGGGAACGATGGCTCTTTTATGATTTATGGACTTCAACTCCCAGAATTCCTGAGCCAGTCACAAGTCATAAAGGGACCATCATTCCCCACCTCTGCCTCGAATCAGAAATTGGAAATACAAGCATTGGAATTGTGTCAAGCAAACCTTAATTCTCTCAGATTTGCTATAAAGAATATTTATTTTAACGCCAGGGTGATCTTAATTTCATTGTTGGGGGCCAGCTGCAGAACCCCCTAAAAGTTTTCATTTCCAACCATTCCAAGCTGAAGTCACACAAGATAAATAAACACTCAGAAAACTGAATATTGCTTGGAATTTATTTCCTTTTTTAAAATGCACAAAAACATAATTTGGTTTCACAGTAGGAAGAGATCCAAAATTACATAATGTAAACATGCATATGCACCATCACCCCCATAATATGTGCAAAAAGCAAAAGCTAAAAGTAAGGTGTAAATATCAAGCTTTTTGGAGTACATTCCCCTTTCCTCCCTGAACCCCGGTCTATATCTCAAGTAGGCTGACGTTGGTCAAGTTTCATTTCAAAAAATGAGTGGTTTAAATAAAAGTACCTTGGAGTCAAAAAGAAATAAACTACTGTTCTTTTCCAGGATACAAAGTATTTTAACATCAATACACAAGCAGTATTGCATATTGTTTATGAAAATGCCCAGAATAACCCATATCTTTCAAGAAATGCATTTACATACAAATAAAGCAAGTCATTGTAAGGTTGAAAAAGAGAGGAAAAAAACTCATTTCCCCAGCAAAAAAAATGTTCTCCACTGCAATTTATGCTGGAGTTCCAGTATCCTATGGCTTTCTGCTTTGTAGCGCTTCCAGAATGTTTCTTACATTGTAAACATGCAGAAGACCCCATTTTTATCCCTGTCCTTTTGCTATAGTTTCTTTGGCATTCCATAGTCATTACCTCACCTTTATGTATTGTATGGTAGGGTGATTTTGTTGTGCTTTAAAAACTTAGGAAGAACATTGATGTGATGGGAACCCAGAACAAGACAATTCTAAGTCAAGTTCTGAAAGACTCTGTTTTAAAAGAGAGGGACCCTACCTATAGTTCCCCAATATACACTGTAATAATTATCCCTCCTGGTTGTTTATTAACGTTAGTCTAATGGCAGTTTCATACATTGCAACAGTTGTGTCTAAGCCAGTGTTTCTTAACCTCTGCAACTTTAAGATGGGTGGACTTCAACTCCCAGAATCCCTCTGGGTAGCATGCGACGGCTGGGGAAATTCTGGGAGCTGAAGTCTACCCGTCTTAAAGTTGCAGAAATTAAGAAACAGTGGTCTAAACCATCTAGAAATAAATCCATAAGATGTTATTCCAGAGAAACTTTAATGTATCTAAGCAATATATTTCATAGAATGACTGCTATCACAGGATGATACTTTTATATGACAGCATCATCTATGTTAAAGGTGTGTAGCCTACATAAAATAGGCAGTGTTCTAGAGTACTATTTGCACAATGGCAGTCTTCTCCACACTGTGTGCTCTCTAAATATGAGGACTTCCAGGTTGTCCAGACAACATGTCTATTGCTGATAATTCTGGGCACTGAGGTTTACACATCTGGAGGAAGAACAGTTTATGGAAGTCTAACTTAGGGTCTCATTGCAAACAAACAAAGATAAGATGCAAACTAGCAAACCCTGAATGGCTGCTTTGATATACCAAATGATCCAAAATCTCTTGGATGTGATTGGTCTATTTCCATCTTTGATATGTCATTTAATCTAACATAATAGTTTGACTGTCACTATTTTATCCAGTTGTCGAGGAAAATAATAAGTCTTGTATGTTTGGAGTTCACAGTATACATTTTGACGACTTACAGGGTTTCCAAAGTAATTTGCTATATAAAGGAAACACTTTAGGAAGGATTAATTTAGCAGTTTGACAGATACTGTACAGCAACAGTGGAGATCGTAAAAATCTACTTTTTCATGATAGAGCTGAAATTTTCTTATACTGCAGTGCCTTGGCCAGGTACAATAAGAATATATATTTTAAATAACAAACACAGTCATTTAATCCTTGGTGAAAAGCTTAAATTAACCAAACCCAAGTTTGGTATACTGAATGATCTGCATACAAAAATCATGTATAGTAGTAAAGAAAAACAACAAAAAATTAGTTTTAAATCAAGACCTCTTGCCTTTAAGAAAGGGATACAATTTTTAAAGATTGTGCATGGAACACGTGTCATTGATTCCTTATTACAGCTATATTGTTATAAAATACCATTATCAAATTTTAGCAGTGAGCTAAATTAATGATAATAATTGATTGGTGCTCTCAGAGGGATACCGAAAGGATTTTTTTGATATGTGGAAATATTGAATTTATCAGTTCTGAATATCCCAATTTTGCAAAAAAAACCCCATCCTACTTTATTCTTAGATGCTCTCTTAGTCATTCTTAGCTCCTTGGTTAGGACTTGAATTATTAATTTCCACCAGTCTTACACTGTGAATCTAATAATTTATTAAACGTATATGCCACTTAATTATCAACAACTCTTAATTGCCTCTCAACAGAAGCCCTCAATTCTAAGTGTATGCACTGGATTAATCAATTTGTAGAAACTAAATGTGATTAGTTTAAACCATGTGAGTTTAGGAACCATCTCTGATAATTTTGGAAAATTATGTGGAGTTGTGTTCTACAATAGATAGCTAAAACTAAAATCCTTTCAACCATTCAAGCATTCTATTCTTTTTCTATCCTTCAGCAAATGCCTAACCACCATTAGGAATCCAATCAACTCTCATTCAAGAATATCAAGAAGCAGAGACACCACCCCTACCCCAATATGCAGCCTGTATGCAGCTTTATGAAATCTCTACTTAGAACATTGCCCACATTATGTGATTAAATATATATCCAGATCTTAATCCATAAATGTAAACATTAATTTCCTAGTAACCCAAGTATCTTGGCCAGTGTGTTGGGTAGCCTTCTCTACTAGTGCTCTCCAGACTACTGAATTATACCTTCCATCATCACCAGCCAGAATAACTAATAACTGAAGTACTTGGAAACAAAAAGAGATGGTGGTTTAATTAACCTTGGGAACACCAGTCTGAGAAAAATTAATTACTTGAACAGTATCTTAACTTCTTAATCCAAAGGGAACCAACCTACTGAACTTCCATCTCAGAAGCAAGAATATTTGTTTAAAACAATAATGTAAATGTTATTGTGTTTGTTTGTTTTTTTAATCACGGGAGATATCCTGGATTGTGCATGTAACAATTCAGGTTTTTCATGAAAGGAAAATTGCCATAGTTTCATTACATCTATGAGACTGGTTCCATGCTCCTGAAATATGCTTCCCTCAATCTGATGTTCTCCAGATGTGCTGGATCATGATTCATCACTGGCCATATTGGCTGGCAGTTTTACAACACTGATCTCCAAACCTGGCAACTTTAAGACTTGGGGACTTCAATTGCTGGCTGGGGAATTCTGGGAGTTGAAGTCCACAAGTCTTAAAGTTGCCAAATTTGGAGATCTCTGTTCTCGAAGATAGAAGACACCAGTGTGGAAAGTCTGAACTAGACTTGGGACAATCGACATAATTTAGAACACTTTACAAACAGAATGAATAACATTTGTATATTTAAAAATGCACGTTAAAAAAATTAACACTCAGTGTAAAACAATCCAAAAAATACAAAAGAAAGGCAACTGTTACAGTAGATAACCACTGAAAAGCAAGGACTCTCATCTTCCCCCCCAACATAGCTTTAACTGGCAACAGCAGCAACTGTATCATATAGGTGAAAGTAAAGTGATTATTTGGCACAAGAGTCCCAGGGAAAAAAGTACAAAGACAGGTTTAATACAAGAACTGCAATAAGTATGTCGGAGTTCAAGTGCAAAAAGCACCAGTTCTGACTTTCATCACTCTTGGACCAGCAGAGAGGACTGCAGCCTTTGACAGTCGATTTCCAAAAAATGTCTCCAGATAGCAGGAACATCAAAAGCAATTCACAGAAAACAATTTCAGGGGTCTTTGCAAATCAGAAGCAGCCATGAAGAGGAAATGTGGCCTGCTTTAATAGCTGTACTAAATGTATTTCTTTAAGTTCGGTGAATGATATCTTTGATCTAGAATTATATTCTAATGACAATCACACAGTCTATAAAGTGGAAGGGATACATGTGCCAGGAAAACTATTAACAACTTACAGAAAAGTACCTATTTTATCTATTAAACTACAAGCCTGAATGCAGTAAAATTCTCTTCTCTGCTATCCAAGTTAGCTAACAGACAAGATTTAAAATTCCATAGTAACCAAGCAAACACTGAATGCTAATTTGCTTGAAACATGCAAACAGCAAAAGCAGCACACCACTCTCATGCCCTGGGCCACTGTGAACCAAGAGCTTGGAATGGACAACTGATCACAAACATAGATTGGTATGAGGTACAGAGTTTGTCCAGCATTTCTAATATATTAGTAATCCCTCTGCCACTTTTTCTGGACAAATCAGGAACAATTTACACACTTCAAAATGCCAATTTGCTTTAATTTCAGTTTCTCTCATTGGCAGTTAAAAGAATCTACTCTCTTTATTCTTGGTAGCAATTCAGAATCTGCACAAGACTTTGCAAGACCTGTTTTTGGAAACAAGCTAGGACTGAAAAATCCAAAGATGTCCAGTCTGACCTAGATAAAATTCAACATTTCTTCAGCTCTGAGTTTTTGCTGGTATGCAATGATTTGAAATAACTTTAACTATCAAGTCACAAAGCATTTATACCACAAACCACAGGGTTAATTCGTGCTTTAATTATTGCTATAATCAATTTAGTAGGATGCTTATAGTATTACCTCTATAATTCAAACATGTAAAAACACACGTTAACAAAATAGCTATTTGACCCCTGAAGTCACACTATAAATATATAAAGTACTATCTAATTGCTTGGTGTAGCACATATATTAATTTCCTATACTTGTCACTCACTACTGAAACACCACTCTATCTAGCAAACAATCATAAAATATGAGATGCCAATTTTCTTTCCTGACCAGCAGGGAATAGGAATTAACAGGTAAGTAGCTTCTGAGGAATCCACACCAGCCATTAATTCAAATTAAACTAAGAAAAATAAATCAGAAGCTCCCTAGCATTATTAGAAATCTGGTTCATAGGCAATCTGCTCCACTTGCAAATTACCTATTGTCCTATCAAATAACAAATTTATATTAAACCTGCCCTTTCAATATTTATCTGAACGACTAGATTTAAATTCTTTTTAAGGGATTCACTCAGTGACAGCAACTAAGCAATTACATTAATGGAAAGCCTCAGGCTCAAGTCATGCAATTACAATTTTTCATGCATTTAAAAAAGTCTTAATGTCTTTTAAATATTCATTCAAAGGCCAAACCATCATGGCTTCATTCCCAAAGATTGGCCACAAACTAAATAGGCCCATAGTTTTCCAGACCCAGAACTAAATCCAATCTGATTTTCCTTCAGCTTTCTTTCCAGTTTGGTTACCAATGGTCCAAGAGAGCAGCCTAGCCACGTGAATGTTTTTGGTACAAAGTGCTCCCTTGATCAATTTCAAGGTCAAGCAGACTCCTCTCAGTAGCACTTTGACTTGACAGCCCATTCCTGAAACACCATGAGGAAAATCCCCCATATTTAGTCAGAGGACATCAGAGCTTGTCAATCACAGAATCCCACTAGAGTTAAAGGCTATGGGGTCCCCTTAGCTGTCAGAGAAATCATGGAGGATTATCATTGAGGTTTTGATGTTTTGCTATTCAGATACCACATTAGTGAGAGTCAGGGGATACAGGGATACAGTAGTCAGAGTTTGGGTAAACACAGAAATTTAATTAACGAAGCCATATTCCAAGCCATTTCAAGCAACACTAACATCATTCATCGGTTACCATTTCACAGATCAATTCTTTTGAAAAACTGGACCCACCATAAGGAAAGGCTGAACTGGTTGTCTGTGTTTACCTGAACCAGATTCAAAACAACACTCTTAAAAGATCGTTTTTGAGAGATTTGTCTCTAAAACTACATGATATGTTGCTCCTTTCCCCCCCCCCATACACATTGGTTCCCCAAACTTCTCCCCAAACAAATCAAGGTTACAATGCTGTTATTAATATCCTAGTGCTGATAAAAACTCTCCCAGTATCTGCACAAGGATCTCCGACTGGACATAGAGAAAGGGGACTCCAAAAGCTACCAGCTGGCACATGAAAAAGGAGTCCAAAGGATTTTGGGCTATGTGGTACCCAATGGAGGAAACCGTGCCCTGCAGCAGCTGGCTTGCCTCCCTAACTCTGTCAAAGACGCAGAGCGAGTATCGCATCATCTTGCCAAACAAGGAAGCAGAGCTACCTGGAGTCTTCTCTGATGAGGCTGAGATGGAATTGGCACGCCCTGCACCATCAGCCGCCATGCTGTCCTGTACAGTCCCTTTGTTGTCCTGGAGAAAAGAAAGGTAAGGAAATAGACTAGGTAAAGGAAGATGCAAATGCAAATGAACAAGAGGTGACACTACGCCTGTTTGCAATGAGAACTGCTGAGATCTTACTTAATCATAATTTGATTCATTACAATACTTTTAATTCCTGCAAAACAAAGACAGCTTTTCAGAACTGATAACTGATTTTCAGCATATCCAGAGGACTAAACCGATCCTAAGCTGTTGCTTGATCCAAAGATACCAGAATGACATTCAAAGGGGGAGGCACTCAAGAGCTTGACAGCAACCTATTATTTAGAGGCTGCACCACCCTACAAATGCATACAAGTCCATTTGGTCCGTTTCCTCCCTCCCTCCCTTATCCTTTGGCAAAGCCCATCCTCAACAGCTTGGGAATCAGATGGTGAATGGGTTAGCAAAGTCTACTGGCAAAATGACAGGGGTTAAACCAGTCGTGAGCTGGAAGTTGGACCCCCTAATATAATACATGCTTCCCTTCATCACTGATGCTCCCTGGATAACAGGTAAACATGATCACTTATTTCCTTATTTATTTAAAGAAAGTACATAGCTGTCTATCTCACATAGTGATCCTAGGCAGCTCATAGCAGCTAATAAAACAAGATAAAAAACATAACAAGCCCTTTTCACCAGATGCCAGGCCAATCACACTATTATGAACCCTGTTCTAGCCCAATTTTGGGGAAAACAGCCAAGTCTTTGTCACCTTCCAGAAGGCTAAAAAGATGGGGACCCTTGAATCAGAGGTGTACACACACACACACACAGTGTGTGCGCGTTATATATATTGTGTGTACTATATATATAAACAAACTAAAACATGGATTTATAAAGATGTGGATTTGGCCATTTGATGTTATGTTATGTAAAGTTTTAAATGCAAAGAAAGAATATAAAGTCAACTATAGAGATAAAATGAGCATGTTACTGTTTTAATTTATTCCTTCTCAGCTAGTTGATCTCATATTCTGGATTGGGGTATAGAGCCTGATGTCTTCCACATATTTTGGCTTGCAGTTTCCATAAATCCTCTCCGTGGCCCATTTTGCCTCATCTTTATGAAAGAGATAGCCCAAAACATTTGGACATACCCATTAACAGCCAGCATTGCAGATTTTGAATCAACTGATTGAAAACAAAGTCCTGTTTTGTGAAATACTCGAACAGATGGAAATAATACAAAGAAGAGTATTTTTATGGTTCTATACGATATTTTCAATTTTGACTACAGAGAAATATAATTTTACATCTGCCAACACATTCTTGTCTGGTCTGTTAAACCTTTAAACCTTGTTCAGTTCTGCAAGGTTTAAAATTAAGTGAGACTCTCCCCTTGCAAGCAACTCAAAGCCATTTTTTTTAATACCAAGAAGCAACTCTTATTAAAATAAAATAAAACCACATCTTACCTTCCCTGACAATGGACCCACAGCTGGTCTCTTCCTCTGAGCATACCCTGAGAGCCTATAACAGTAGTGAGGTTTGCAGTAGAATTTTCCTATAAACAGATCAAGGAGGACAATAAGATAATAGGCGAATGCCACAGTTGTTTAACACTTGCAGTGCAGGAATTCGATTGTGTCGTCTCTACTTTGTCATGTCAATTATATCCCCAAAGTCTGAATTTAACATTCCAGCTTCAAAAACCATCTATTTTCCTACGTTCCCCTGACATCTATTAACCAACACCCAGTTAACCATCCGGCGTCCCAGGAAAACTTGTATGTTATCCCAAACAAAGCACTACTGTTAAGGGACAAAGGCTGTATCACATGAAAAGCTGGCAGAAAAACTGCTAGAAAAATGAATGCAAAAACAGAAGGGCTGGGCATTAACTCCAAACAGGCTACTGCTTACAAAGAACTCTGGGAAACTTTGGGGGGGGTGAACAATGGGCAAAACGGTTGGAATGTGTCATGCCAAGGCAGGTGATTTCCAACTATAAATTTTGAATATTTGTCTTAAATATTCTAACAGCTAACAGATCTGCTCCTGAAGTCAGAGGTACAAGAACCTCTGATGACCCACTAAACCAGGGGTAGGCAGCCTTGGCTCTTTTATGACTCATGGACTTCAACTCCCAGAATTCCTGAGCCAGCCATGCTGAGGAGAAAGGGAGTTTCCAAGCTGAGCCATGCTGGCTCAGGAATTCTGGGAGTTGAAGTCCACGAGTCTTAAAAAAGCCAAGGCGCTAAACCTTCTGAAGAGTCTCTGAGGAGACTTATGGAAAGTTACGACATTAGACAAAGATCTTAAAAGTTGAGAAACTGGCCATTCCTCTCCTCGTTGAATATCTTTGTTAGCAACTTACGGGATTTCTCAAGAGAAATCTAACCAATATGTGGCTGCAAAGATCTATAGTCTCAGCACTGAAATAGTATTATCAATTGTAAATATAAAATATAACCAGCCTTGCTAAATATTAAGCAACATTTTCCACAACAATAACATAAATTAAGAGTTGAATCATATATATTCTATCCCAGTGGTGGCTAACCTATGGCACACATGCCAGAGGCGGCACTCAGAGCCCTCTCTGTTGGCACACGCGCCACTGCCACCAGTAGCAGATCCATCAGGCCGCCACCGCCGCCCGGAGCAGGAGCCCCGCCCAGCACAAAGGAGGTGAAGTGGTCGACTAGCAAGCTCGAGTAGAGGTGGTAGAGCAGAGGTCACCAACCATTGTCGATTGGCGGACTGTAAGAAAAGGGAGGGGGAAGCATTTTACATGTGAGTGGGCATGCATGGGGCCGCGAGCATGCACGTGCTGCAAATGGGGCGGGGCTAGTGCCTTTGTGATACTCACTAGCCCCGCCCGTTCTTGCATGGTGCAGTGCCTTGTATCTGCACCCCGCGGTGCGGCAGCAGCCATGTTTGCACCTTGCAGCACGGCCCATTTTTGCACCCCTGGTTTTTGCGTGCCAGAGGTGGCACTCAGAGGCGCCTTCCTGCCCCCCCCCCCCGAGGGCACCACAATGCTGATGCGCCCCTGGCACTTTGCAATAAATAAGTGGGTTTGGTTGCGGTTTGGGCACTTGGTCATCACTGTTCTATCCCTTCTCTATTGGAAAGAATTAGCCTTACTGAAAACCTGCAGTTGAGATTTAGAAGTACCTAAAAGCCTCCTTTCTGTAAGAGATAGGAGTAACTGTTGTTCGTTGCAAATGCAACTGAGTAGTCTCACTTGATGTTTTTGCAAAAGGTTAGTAAATCCAGGTCTATATTAAACCTAATACCTAGCTTTAATATAAAACTATATATTAATATGTGTACGGTTTGTACTCTGTCAAGAGCTCAAGGTGATATACATAAAATTACCTCCTGCTCCAATTTTTCCCAGAACAACAACCCTATGAGGTAGGTTGAGCTGAGAAAGTCCAAAGTCTCCCAAGCTATTATCACGGGGAAGATTGATTACAACTTGGGAGTTCCCATCTTAGATCAAGACCTTCATCATTATATCATACTGGTTCTCTTGCTGGGAGAGGAAGTTACTCAAAGTCTTCTATGGTTGAGGAAGGACTAGAACCCAACTGTAGTCCAGCACCTGGCTGGTTCTTGAACTTCAGAGAAGAACTGGCCCAAAGTCCCCCACGGAGCTTCCATAGACTTCAACCTGAGTCTCCCTCAGGTTGGTCCAGTTTATAACGTGTTTCCCTGAAAGTAAGCCCTCCCCGAAAGTAAGCCTTCCCTAAGACCCTGCACAGACGACCGGCCACCGATTCCGTCTGATTTCACCATACACACGAGGTAAGGAGGAGGAGCTGCCAGTGCCTCTGCAACGAGACGAAGCCGATGGGGAATCTAACCCACACTAGTCAATAGTATACTGGTTCCTTATTGCCGCCCAGCTTGTTCTTTGCTTACCTGACTTCCAGCCCCGTCCTGTTTCTCCTTCACGATCCTCCGCTGCCGCGTGCAGGGAAACAAATGTTTGTGGGGGGAGGGGGAAGGTAAATCAATCAATTCCAACTTCACGAGATTTTTTTTTTGCGAGAAGTTGGAATTGATTGATTGACCTCCCCCCGCCCAACCTATTTTGTTTCTCTTCATGCGACAGCGGAGAATTGTGAAGGATAAACCGGACGGAGCTGGAAGTCAGGTAAGCAAAGAATGCAATTCCTGGGGGAAGTGAGGGTATCTGGGGAGGGGGCAAGCTCTCAGGCTCCACGGGGAGGGGCAGCCAGCATGGGCGCTGACAGCAGGACGCCTGCTTGCTTGAGCACCCTCCCTCCCTGAGGCTCCAGTGTTCCACCTGCTGCTTTGGTCCTGGGCTGCCGCCTCCCCACTCACCTCTCATTCAGGCCGGGCCAGGCCAGGAAGGTGGCCTTCCCGGATCTCCAGGGCAAAGGCCCCCCGCTCTGGCTGGAGGAGCGTCAGCCTGGCCTCCCCCACCTTGACGCCTTTCCTGTCGCCACCGTCCAGCACGGGCACCCTGACACGGGAAGGGCACGCACCCCATCTGCCCTGATACTTGGTCTGCCACCACGCTCTTGCTGCCGCATTGTGTCTCCACCTCATGCACAGGCCCCACCCTGCCCCTGCGTGCTCGCGGCCTGCTAGTATCGGCAAAAAGCAAGACCTACCCAAAAGTAAGTCCTAGTGCTTATTTCAGAGCCCAAAAGAAAGTAAGACTGGGTGTTACTTTCAGGGAAACACGGTAGTTCAGCATCTATTGTCTACATAAGCATTTTCTGGTATTTATTTCAATTTACAATCTACAGTAACATTAAAAAATGTACATTTAAAATAGCTAAATTGTATCCTAATATGTTAAGATAATGGTTCCTATATTTTGCAGTAATTCAACCCACTAAAACAATAATTGAACTTGTGAATTCCTCCCTCCATGCATAAAACTAATAATTTCATTGGGGTTAGGGTTGGGAAAGAAACAAATCTACTACTTTAATAACTAAATTTTAATCTATATATCACAGTTGTCAAAGACTCTATCCATTCCCTGTAGCTTGTGCAGATAAAGCAAAAATGCTGATGAAATTCACTTCCACTTTAACTGAACCACCCCCCCCCAGTTTACTGACCTAAGCAAAATGGTTTATAAACCCCAGACTGATTTTTAATGGTATTCTGACTTGTCTTTGCAAACCTAATCAGATTTTTTTTGAAATTATGATCTCATCTAAGTTCCTTGTTAACCCTGTTGTTAAGATCATAAATTAAGGTTGTGACTTCTATAGTTAAAGTCATGGACTGACTTTAACTATAGAAGGGGAATTCCTCTAGGTTGTTTGTGACCCCTGCAGTTAAGGTTGTGGACTAATATCAAGGACCTCCATGCTAATTTTACTATTAGTCTTTGAGACTCATTGGAAAACTTTGGGTTCTGACACTTTTTTAACCACTTTATAAGGCTGCTTTTGGGGGGGGGGGAAGAAATAAAAGGAAACAAGATTTCAAGTGAATAACCTTGAGCTCCTAAAGAAGCAGGATATCAATCAATCAAACAAATTAATTAAAATAATTCTAATTCAATCAATTTTCAGATATTGCCATTTACCAATAGTTCTGTTTTTGCACCTCAGTCTTTTCAGATTATCCTAAAATGACCTAAGCAACGTGCAATGACCTTCTTACTGTCCTCTAAGGGCATATCCCGAGATGTATTTCTGCAGACGTGCAGCCCCAGAAGACAAAGGCAAATTCAACTTCAAAGACAATTTCACTTACCGTCCACCAAATCATAGGCATAGGATGACAAGCGCAGTGTGGTGGTGCAGTATTCACATTTAAAGCAGCTGCGGTGGAAGAATTTGCCTTCAGCGCTGAGCCTCTCCATCACGTAGACCCGCTTGTGGCAGAAGTAACAGACATCACTGCCTCCAACATTGGGGGGGAATTCTTTTTTTAAGGAACCCTAAAGTGACAGAAGCAAGGAAAGCATTATAAGCTTGTTTTCAATCCACTGATGCCATTCATTTTCTCTTGGGTTGTCTTGAAATTTTCTACAGAGGATGCTCCAGAGAATGCCCAAAACAAAGTAACGTACAAATAAATCAAAGATTCCTGAGACAGTGAGAAAAGGTTGGCAAGTGCTACAGGTAACCCAGAACCTGTAGCACTTAACTACCTGAAGTCTACAAGCCCATGGCATTAGAGGCTATATAAATAATTCATACAGTCTCGTTGACCTTCACCTCCCATCTCTAAATGAGGAAATCATTATTTACTTTGTAAGGCTATTGTGAAATAGATACCTGTGATATAGAAATTAGAATGGTAATAAACCTCCTCATTTATCAAGGCAAGAGTTTCAACCGGTCTATATGATGTCAAGTGGCGTCCGCATATATATCATCCTAAAGAACTCATCTTTTATTCATAGGAGTCTTTATAAGAATGAGGAACAGAAACAGGTATGTCTGACTACTTGTCCCGAAGATGCTTTTCAAAAGGCTTTCTTTGAACTTGGACTTTCTTGGTTTTTTTCCCCCCTTGAAGACGTTTCGCTTCTCATCCAAGAAGCTTCTTCAGTTCTGAATGGTGGGGAATGAAAGGATTTATATTTTTGCAATCATCTGGTCATTAGCACTCTGAAGGCTGATCTTTAGCTCTCTTGAGAGTCATTGAGACTTCTTGGGGGTTTATCTGTACCCTCAGGGTCACCTGAATCAGACTGCAAATTTGGACTGCTAAAAGGACCGTGTTGGAAGACAAGAGATAGGTGATGAGTTATGCCTCCCCCTCTATTGAGAGAGGGCTGTTCAATTTTAACACTGATGACCTCTTTGATCCTTCTTTCAAACCAATGGTCCTCTCTGTCCAGAATGTGGATTTTTCTATCTTCAAAAGAATGGGGGGGGGGGAAGACAAGGAAGTCCAGTTGCTTTTTGAAAAGCAGCTTTTGGACAACCATGACTTGGATGATTGAGAATCTCTACAGATGTCTGACTACCTCAGATAAAGCACCAAGGGGGAGACATATTTTATTATGAGATGAAGAAAGAGAAGCTAATTTAAAATATAACACTCACAAGCACACATTGCTTTCTGCAGGTCATTCTCTTACCAGTTCCTTTTTGTCTAGAAGGGTTTTAGGCTGGTCTTTCCTTTGAAGCTGATTGGCTATCTGCTCAGCCAATGAGCTCACGCCTCCTGTATACATCTTTATATACTTCTACCAGGTGAAAATAATTGGGGAGAGGGAAAGTAATGGATGGAAAGAGAAACAATATAAATTGTGCTGAAACCAACAAAAGAAAAAAAAATGAAAAAAAAAGGTGCGAAAACTAAACAAACCATGCCAAGGCAGTGGACCAGGCAAGTGGGTGTGATACCAGCAAAACAGGTGACAGCAGCAACCAGTGGTATAAGCAACACAAAATGTAACCACTCACAGTCCATAACCAATTCCACATGGATTCCCAGGAGACACTAACTCGTTTATCAGAAAACACCTCAGCAAATGGGAAGAAGTTCAAAGACCAAAATTTCTCCAACACCTTATTTCTCCAATATGCTGTTATTTATCTCTGCACTGCAAAACCAGGCATAGCTCTTAGACAGGTCTAGAGATTTTAGCAGTAATTTGGCCCTGCTGATGCACAAGGCAAGAGAATAAGAGTAAACTCCCAATTCAGCAAGAGACGTGTACTGTACGTGCTCAAAGTGAGACAATCCAAATTTAAAAAAACAGCCATGGAATATTGGACAGTTAAAAACTTGCTTCCATTACCACATCTTTGCTAAATCTAAACTGATCTTCCCATCTGAAAGATACTTGTGTTAAAAAAAAAAGTCATGTTGCTATTTCAGGCGCATACAGTATACAGAAAGAATGTTATTCACAGCAATATCCAAGTATTTGGATATTATGAGTACTTATGGCATCCAAAAACATAACCTTGGGAACTGTATATTCTGAATAAAGGATACTTTGGAAGAAAAAGAAAATGGGAGCAAGAAAGAGACGCTTAATATGAAAATTGCTGATATTAGCTTATAGCCCAAGAAGAAGAGTATTTCTACAGGGTTCTAAAAACAAACTGTAAATGAAACTGCATTACAGAAAAAAAACAGGCAGAATTACCATTCAGAACTATATTGGAAGAGAAAAGCTTTTGTTTGACAAGGCACACAAAATATATTCTGCCAGCACCTCCATGGGAAACGAAAAACAGATTGATGTTGGATGGCATCTCTTCAAGAAAAACAAGTTTGAAAAAACACTCAAAAACAAAGTAGAACCATCCAGCAGTTCAGTTGTTTCAAAAACAAAGAACGTTCCAACTATTGTACATTAATTTCCTTTGCACAGAAGAACGCAGGCTAAGACCTGCAAGCTTTCCCTTTTGCCTTCTTGAGTGCCAGGCACCTGAAGGCAATAGGAAAGTTATGATAGCTTATCCTTCTCCAACCTAATGTTGGGCAGATATGCAGAAGTACACTTCCATATTGCCCAACTACCAAAAACTGGAGAGGTCTGTAAAATCTGTTGTGACTATAATGCCATTTCTGAAGATGAGAGCAATGTCAATCTAGACACATGTAGCTAGAAGATTAAAAGGCCTGCCCCCCTCCAGCCCCTAAATTGATGCCCATTAGTCAGTAAGAGCTAGTCTATTGCAGTAGTTAAAGTGTTGGATTAGAAACTGGGGGACCATGAATTCTAGTCCTTCCCTGGACATGAAAGACAACTGAGCAGTTTTAGGGCTGTCCCTCACTCAGCCCAGTCCATCACGCGGGGTTATTGTTGGGAAAATGGGAGACAGAAAAATTAGGTACACTGCCTAGAGTTGTACAAGTAAAAAAGGGATATAAATCTAATAATAATTTTATTTATTTTATTAAATTTGTTCGCTACCCATCTCACCATAATAAATAAACTAGGGGGACTGAGATTTCTACAAATATTTTTCAGTCTCTTTGGATTCATTTTGTCTCTTTTTTTAAGAACCATTGAAGCTCGCAAAATTCAAAGTTGGCAGTGATCAGTGTGAAGAAATTGTCTAATCTATCCCCAACTCTACTGCCAATCATCTGTGAAATAATCCTAGCACTAGGACAAAGAAAAATCCCCATAATGTGCAAAATTATGTAAGCCTATCCTATGTTCACAGAAGATAGCTTACAGTATGACGTTCTTTAACTAAAGCCCACAAGCTAGTCTCAACCTTGCATGGAAAGTTCTACAATGCCCACTTTGAGTTGGGATATCAAAACTGTACACATTGTTCAGAGAAGGGGACTCCACAGATTTACATAAAATTATTACAAATCCTGGCTGATTGCTTAATAATCTGTAATTCTTAAATTGCCTTTTATTGTGGCTGCAAAGTTTTACTTAAGAATACAACACCCCACACCCTCCTTTTTTTTTTTGCTGGAGAAATCACAGAATTTGGACTTCATTTATGTATGCTATACATAAAGTTGGGATTCTTGCCTTTTTTAACATAAATCTCCTATAAATTTTGGAGTATACTGCAACGCGCTCTACATGGAGCTACCCTTAAAAAGTATTCGGAGACTACAGTTGGTCCAGAATGCAGCCGCACGAGTGATAGTGGGTACTCCTCGATACACCCACGTTACACCTATCCTCCGTGAGCTGCACTGGTTGCCTATCGGTCTCCGGGTCCAATTCAAGATGTTGGTCATTACCTTTAAAGCCCTATATGGCTCAGGGCCAGGCTATTTGCGAGACCGCCTACTACCTCATAGTTCCCTACGTCCGGTTAGATCCCACAGGCTGGGCCTCCTTCAGGCCCCGTCGGCCAAGCAGTGCCATTTGGCGGGGCGGCGGAGGAGGGCCTTCTCTGTGATGGCACCCATGCTTTGGAACCAGCTCCCCCACGGAGATTAGGACCGCTCCCACCCTGTTGGTCTTCCGTAAGCTACTTAAGACCTGGCTTTTCCGGCAGGCCTGGGGTTTATAAAACCTGACCCCTGGATGACTGTACTGTTTGTTTGTTATGTTTTATGTGTTTTTTATTGTTAGCCGCCCAGAGTCCTTCGGGAGTGGGGCGGCTTATAAATTTTAAAAATAAATAAAATAAAAATAAATATTGCCTATTCATCTAATTTGAAGTTCTTCACAATTTGCTTTGCTTTTCACCCTGCCCAGTATTTCAGGAGCATATACAAGTCTGGCTAATCTACAGATTATCATCCCACCTTGCAATCAACATCCATGAAGTAATAATTGTTTTGAAGATAATGTTGCTATTTCCTGTTTCTGTATGAATGAAGCAAGCAAATCTTCTAAAATTGCATATTATCTTGAAGTCTGGCAAATTAAGGGCCTTTGAAAATCCTGTTTATTTCCATAAATCATGACCTTCTGTCTTATTCATGTGCTGACAGTATAATTGGCCAATTATATTGGATAACTGCCAGAAACCAGTTTCTCTCTGCTTGTCAGCAAGTCTTATTGTGACTTGTAAATGCTTCTTCCTTTTCATTTAGAAGAGCTGGAGAAAGTGTGTGACCTATGGGGTTACCCCAAGTTTTTTAGTAATTAGTTTAAGTAGGTTCTGCCTCAGTCAGAGGAAATGACTACAGAGGCCTCTTAGTCTTGATTTTCTACCCCAAATCTGGTTGGAAGAATTTCCTTTTTTGCTTGCAAAAGGAAATTTATATTCCCAGTCTTCTAAGCAGAAAGTGTTTCTGGATATCTGTAAATTTAGCCACCATGTTGGATATACCACTCAAAACTATATGTCCTTCTGCTATCCAGATAAAAGCGAACCAACACACAAGAAAACAAGCTTAGATGTAGAATACTCAGTTTCAATAATAAATGTATGTTTATCTGCAGAAATAAGCATCATTTTCTGATAATAAATAAAATGTTTCCTAGTTCAGGAACACTTACGAGCTTTAGTTTCAACAAGGTGAGCAATAAGCATTTCATTTCTTCACTGTTTATTGGTCTCCATTTTTTAATTTCCAAAATGCAATACACTGTGTTGTAAGTTGCCGTGCAACTTCAGTCATCATAATGACAACTACTGCAAAAGTGAGAACAAAAGGAGGACATGATCCTGAGATAACAGTGGAGCAAGGTGAGAAAGAAATATACTTGTTGACCAAACCATAGTTTGGTAATTGAGCTCCAGGGGTGCCTCAAGCAGACAGATACATGACAAATAACAATATTAGAAGGAAGAGACTCTTGAGGACCTCCACGGTGTGTGTCCTTGTGTTTTGTGAATGAGTTTCAAGGCATACTCTAAACTATACCCAGTGATGTGAAAACAGGCAAGATGCACATTAGTCCCAACTTCTATACACCTTGGAATACCCTGGGAATAAAGCAGGCTAAGCTTTCTCATTCACAAGCACTCAGCTTCACCAAAGCAAAGACCAGGGGTCTTCAAACTTGGCCCTTTTATGACTTGTGGACTTCAACTCCCAGAATTCCTCAGTCAGTATGCCTGGCTGAGAAATTCTGCGGGTTGAAGTCCACAAGTCATAAAAGGGCCAAGTTTGAAGACCCTGGCAAAGACCTTGGAGATGCCTGAGATCTATTCAACAGCAGAAGATGGAGCAGGCTCGTGTATGCAGCCAGGTGTAGCGAGAAGCCCCACACCATGCTACCTGTCTGAGGGAATCAGATGAGGGAGAAGAGGGGCGGCTGGAAGAGCGGAGGCTACGGGAGAGCTCCCACTGCTCGACAACTGATCGACGAGCTCGCTCTGTCTCTGGCTACAAAATAAAGGCGAGAAAGTCAGGCAATGACATGTTTAAAAGTCATGGGAAAATAAAATCCATCCAAGTTTCAATGTATCAGATGTTTTCAGTGGGAAACAACAGAGCCTAAGTGCTAGTGTCACCCTAAGGGCTTTCCTGTCATGTTTTGTTCAAATTCTGAAAACGAGGATCTATCCAAATTGATGGCGACTGAGGGCTTTGGAAATCGTTAAACTACACAGTAGTCATCAATCTGCTCTGAAGAAAAACTGGGGAATCTTCCTAATAAGTTTATTTAGTAGGATATCCTTTGATAACACTAAACAGAAATATTCTGGATATGAAACACAAACATAAACAAAAGATTGGGGTTTTGGAAGAGATTATTTTAAAAACTATAGCAAGAGTTTACAGCTATATGGCAAAACTGCTGACTGGAATGTGTCAAAAGAGAAGATTTTTTTTTAATACCATCACGATTAATTTGGGGATTGACTCTATGAGCCAAAATTGATAGCTGAATGGACAGAATTTGACACAGCAGCAGCTTACACAAGACTAGAAAGTATATTCTAGTTTTCCTGAATCTGGCAACCTCTGCATTGTGTTTAGACAGCAAATGCCAGACTTCCCAGCCAGACACTGGAATTTTAGGATCTGCAGTCTCAACACATTCAGAGGGTGTGTTGAGAATTGTTTCAGAATACATTCTAATTTTCAAAGGATAATATATGACTGAATTTCTGGTACTGAGAATCAGATCAATGAAGCAGAGCAAATGCAGGAATGTGGTGTGTTCTTTTTTACTAAGATCCATTTTTAAATTGGATTTAAACCCAGTTATGAGTTAAGTTACTTTCTGATGTCTTATGTTTAGCTACTTGTTAAGAAGCTAATTTTACAAAAACATGCCCCCCCCCCAAACCTAATAAATACTTGCAGACATTATTCTGCTCCAGATTGGCCAAGCAATGCTCTACTAATACTGGTTGAATTTGTTTCAGTGTCTGAAAAATGCAATCCCAATTCTTTGGAGGTATAAAAACATGCTCTTGATCAAAAATATTTTTTAATTTAGTCACTTCCTTCCCACAGAAGCCACATTCTATTCATTAGTGCCAGAAGCATTTATTGAAATACTGATTCTGTAAGTGGGAATATTTGTTAGAAAAAGGGGGATCATAAAATTTTTTTTTGCAAGCTCGGAATAATAGACAGAATTTTGCTATAATGTGAGTATGTAGCGATCAGCCATTAATACGTGGCATCTGATGCCTGCCACACTAGAGCTGCAGCAAAACTTTTCATTCCCTTTCTAAGAGAACAGCAAGCGATCAAACCACCAGACAAGCAGGAAATCCATCACCTGGTGCCTGGTTGTTGGCCTCTGCTCCAGAAGAGCAGCCAGCTGGCTTGCCCTCTCTTCAATGGTGAGGGTTTGCTCTGCCATATGGTCATCTGAAAAGAACTGATGAGTCCTCTGCAGAACAACAACGAAGGAAGAAAATGACCAGAGGAAATAATATGCACAGGAAAAAAAAGAGAGAGAGAGTGTTGGAAGCACAGAAGCCGAACTGACAAGTGTCCATGCTAGACAGCTCAACGACATGACGTTTGAGCGAGCTCTAAAACTCTTCTGGAATAGAAGTTATTTCCCTCCTTAGGTGGGACCAAAACTTGTCACAAGCCATTTAGAACGGCCCAATCTGAGCACGTCTGCTGTTGAAGACTTACTGATATCCAGCGGGTTGAAAGTATATGCTGAATTCTGAACTGTGCATCTCGCAGCAGCGTGAAATAAAACATGCTTTCATGTCTATCCAAACACCACAATCATTCTAAGCGACACAGAATGAGAAATTAAGGCTGGGGAAAGGTAGGGCTCCTTTGAAGTACTGAAGAGAGAAGAATTGGGCTCCTGTGTGCTCTGAAGGATCTTTGGGGGATTGAATCCATATAGCACTGTGAGAGTTAGAGATCAAGGACAGAAAGATGGCTGCAATATAAGAGTACCAGTGTTTCTCAACCTTGACAATTTTAAGGCATGTGGACTTCAACTCCCAGAATTCCACAGCTAGCAATTCTGGGAGTTGAAGTCCACATGCCTTAAAATTGTCAAGGTTGAAACTGGGTTAGGCGAAAGAGAAAGAACGTGCTCTATTTCTTTTCTTACTTCAACTTTGCTCCCCCCCCCTTTTTTTTAAATGTATGCCAGTGTGTGCACAGTAAAAAATGACAACAAAGGTTACCCCTTATCTACATTTCAGCAGCTATATAGTAAGATTCATAGCACTGAAGGGGAATCATACCAAATCATACCATGCTGGAAAAAACCTCCTTCTGCTTCACCACAGCATTTCCTACCCCAAAGATGGTTCCAAATCTGCAGCGAGCTATGTGCCAAACTTTATAAAATCATACTGCATATTCTTAAAGGTGGGTAAGAGCCTTTTCAAGCAAGCACTTTGGTAAACACCATACACCCAGAGAAATATTAATTTTGGAAAGATCTTCAGCAGCCCTGCGCTGAGGTTATTAGCATCATCAGCACATAGGTAAACATACAACCATCCTCCCCTGCCAGCTGACAAAGTGTCTTTTACAACTCATGCTTGCTTTGGTCATGCCAGTTTACCCATTGATGCCTGGGACTCTGTTCTCCAGGTGGATCTGTCTGAGGATCTCTGGTGGTCTGCAGGCAAAAGAGTTACCTTAACAAGCCCCCCCAGACACATAAAAAACAGCACAGTTTAATTAGGATCACCCTAGAAGACAAAAATATCACAAGTCCAGGAAACGTTTTGATTTCGGCATAGGTCATGCCAGCTTAGGGAGAATATACTTATCCAATTTTATGAGGCATGATTAAAAATAACACTCTAGGCAAACCGTGTTAGTAACTGGTGGTATAACACTGCACATTCACACAGTAATAAAAGGAGTGCAAGAAAAAGAGAGAGTTTCCGAGAAATGACCAAGTTAGTGCCTTAAAATCTTCCTTGTTTTAGAAATAACTCAGGGAGTTAGACATAAATGATTTCGCTAATTAAAACCAGATAAATTTATTATGCCGCAGTTTTTAAAAATGCATGTATTGTTTTGAAAAGATCCAACTCTCTTTAACAAGACAAGCAAATAGGCTTTTGGACCAACTATGCTCTTATTTCTATCTATCGTGACCATAAGCTATCCTGCCTTAAGAAATCTAGACGCCTATACTATAATTCACCTATCTATCATTTAATCATCATGGAGAAAATCTATGTGGTTGCTAAGAGTGGACAATGATTTCATAGGACATAATTGTTTTATCAAACTGAAATTCCAAGGGACACCAGAAACTACCAACTCTTCACAAAGAAATTGCTATAGCTATACTCTTTCTATCAAGTCTATATATATATATTGCTTCAATGGCATTGCTTTCTGAAGTGCCAATATAGAAAGATATTATCTTCTGACCTAACAAATCCAGAACTGCCATGTTCAAATCATGACCCTTTTACATATATTTTTAAAGAGGGGTACATAATATGTGACCAAAGCAACACTTTCAGACTTTTGAAGCATATATTTCCCCAAAGGCTTGGGGATGGACAGCTGTTTCTATATAGGGTCTTGCCCTTTTGTCAGGATGAAAGCAGCATTTTGGCATCAAACCTCAACCTCTAACAATGGGAGATGGGCATACATAAAGTAGTCCCATTTAACAACTGTTATCATTCACAGGACAGTGATGAAAAATTAACTTTAAGCCTCACATTTATGGCCTTCGCTGGTCTGTAAAGCAAAGGGAAGCTGAAGAAAGATCGTAAGCAGTCACAGTTTCACTTAGCGACTGCTTTCCAGTTGCTGATTCCAATGTGGTTGCCAAACAAGGACTATTATAGTGTTATACAATACATAACAAACAGGCATAGTTTGCAAAGGTACTGCAAAATTGCTTTATCAGCCTGGCTTCCTTACTCTCCCGAGGCTCTCCAAAGAGCCTGTGAGAATATAAATGGAAGGATATACTGTTCAATGTGAAAGATATTATATTTTAACAAAATAAATTTAGGTTTTTTCCTGAAATTTGTTTTTGAACTCTCAGCCTATTTCTTGAATGCTAGATGTGGTCCTAACAGCATAGCTTTACAAGATGGAATGACAAATTAGCTATAGCAGTTGCCCCCCCCCATTGAATCAAGCACACATTTTGATTTGTGTCTGTTTTTCTAACCATGAGGACAATAGTTAGAAGATCAATTTTATTTTTACAAATGAGGATACCAAAATTAGTCTGCTTCTCAAGCTAAGGCTGATTTAGTCTCTTAATTTGTCACGTAGTTGCATAACTATACTTAGAGAAACACATTATTTTCCAAGGGTAGTGCCAATGCAGATGACCATTGTTATTCCAAGTTCAGTGACATGTTTTGATTTCTCCTTCATATTAAGAAAAATCTAGAAGTCTGAGCTAAGCTGTTTGGTTTTTGTTACTCTTGTTTTACTAAATAAAGGAGAAGGGAGGAATTTACACATAGTTGCCAAGTTTTTCTTCCTAGGAAAATCTGACCTTCAATTTCCCATCTCAGAGTCATGTGCCACCCAGTCAAGGTCAGGTCTTATAGTGTTAAGACCAAACAGTGCCATGAAGTCATGATGCCAACTTTTGATAAAAACTTTGAGACTGTTGTTTGTTGGGAGCTTCTGTATGGAACCTACCACTGGGAACTATGGAAACTGGCCACCCTTGGGGTATTATTAAGAAGCTCCTGGCGGCTAGCTTTTCAATCTGTTTGCTTGAGCTAATAATACAGCTTAATCTACCTTTATTTTTATGGGCTGCTTATTGTTTCAAGATCCAAAAGAACCAATTGCCTGGGCACTCAATCACTACTCTGACATTTGGCAAAACACCAAGGAGCATTGCCCAGAAAAAATAACCAGAAAAACTGAAGGCCCCCCCCAAAGGTAGATAATGTGCAAGATGCAGACAATTTAAAGGACTGAATTGTTTATTAGTGCTTTATAAGTGGGAGAAGATAAAATAAAGAACTAAAGGAAGTAAGAAAAAAATGGCAGTGGGCTAGAATCAGCTGAACTGGGAACTTTTTTCTTAAATGTCAAACATGAATGTTTTTCCAATCTCACAAGTAAAGAAGATAATATCTCTGTGCTCTATTGAAGAGCAGGATTTTTTAAAGAATCTTCATTAACAAAAGGCTTCTCAAGAACTGAGTAATATAGAGGTCACTTTACAACACAAAAACTTGATTTACATGTTTTTGCATCTTGCTTTCTCTCTTTAGAAAACAAAATGAGCAAGATTTGAAAGAATTTGCATTTCACCAGCGGTGGTGATGACAGAAAAAAAACATCTTGAACATCACAGATATCCAACTGTAGCAAGAGTCAAATAAGAACAAGTAAATTTTGATATTATCAAAAGAACAGGGTATTATTGAAGCCACTGGGTGTGAGGCTACATAAATTTGTTTCATAAATAAATTTATATACTGCTTTAATATGCACAAATACCTAATTTTCTTTCTTCATACTAATTTTATATATACATACATATATATGTATGTATGTATGTATGTATGTATGTACACACACACACACACACACATGCATAAAATAAGAATAACATTTAAAAAAGAGGAAAATGCCTACAAATTTTCTATCAGGAAGAACACTTCAACAGAAACAATGCCTCTAATGTTTGAAGGCAAAAAACAGAGTACTTTAATCATAGTAAACAAAACAAAAAGCCAAACAACAGGCAATCACAAAGACCTTAAACTAAAACTAGAACCAATCTATTTTGAATTTAAATTGCTAGTATTTATTGCCACTCCTCTTATAACAGGTAATAATAATAATAAGGAATCTCAACATCAGCCTTTATTTAAGCTCAGGATTTTATTTGGTTCAGCAACTTATGTATATAACACATAATGGACTACAAGTAGATTCCATTTAATCTGAAGATACTAAACTGAAATCCAATGTGTATCATTAAGTTTTCTCTTGGGAGAAAATGGAGAATCAGATCAAGAGATCCGCAGGCTTTTAAGGAGAAACTCAACCCAAGAAGGGCATGTAATCCAGTCATTTGAGGAAGCAAAGAGGAAGAGAAAAAGAAAGAAGGACAGAGCATGCAGAATGAAATCACCTGCTGACTGGGGTACGATGGAGAGGAAGTAGAAATGGAGGAAGAAGAGAGCATGATCACTTTTTTGGGACAGGTCCGACAACGCTCCTTTTTCCTCATCTTTGTTTTAAAACAGTGGGAGGGGAAAATGATAGAACAAGAAACAATATCATCGGCTTTATTTTAACACCCCGCATAGAAAACTCAACATCTTAATTTTTTTCTGCAGAGAAAACCAGCCCAGGAGCAAAACATTTTCATTTAAATACAGAATGCTCATCTCAAGTTGTGTAGCCAAGGAATACATTTGAGCACCTTCCCCTGCATTTTGCCTGAGCTGTGGCTGAAGAATGCATCATCTGGAGCAGTGTTCCTTAAATTTTTGGGGTCCTCCGAAATTTGGACTGCAGCCTTTAGCCAATGCGATGTTGCTGGGGATAATGAGAATTGCTGGTGAATATATGGGGAAGGAATCAAAACGTGAACAAGTGATTTGAAGGAAATGGACGTTGTTTTTTCTTTCTTAGCTTAGGAGCTAGAACCTCTACAAGGCAAACTCTTAAAGGGTAGGGTTGTCACATCCCTTGAAAACTTTCACAAATGTTCATGACAGGTTGGTTCATTTGTCTGAAATGTTCAAAAATGCCCAAATATGGAATCCTGTGTGCAGTTTCAAAATCATCAAAATATAGTGAAGCAAAACAAACTGCCTGCCCCATATTATGCAGTGTTGAGCAATGCATCAAAAATCTCAATCTATTGTTGCTGTATAGAAATATACTGCCGCTTCCTATTTTTATATTATTTTCCCAATCCAATAATATCAATGACAAAACATATCAGAATATACAGGTCATACAACATACTGGGTATATCGACTTTACTGCTTGCCTAATGCTGGCTCATATGATGATGACTAACATAAGACTCCATTTGGATCTCTTTCTAGTTCCCCTAAGCTAATAATACACTACACTGTAATAGGACCTGATCTTTCTAACATGCCAATCTTCCAAACTTCCTGATACTACAATAACTATGTATTTAGAGATGGAGTCAGAGTGTTCCATAGGAATGTAAGAGACACTTTGCAGACCACACTACTAGGTGCCCACTTTTTTCATCTTTTGAAAAAATACAAACGTATGTCAGTGTGTCAGTCCATACACATTATTATTCCCCAGCAGTTGACACGAGTGCAATAACATTCAACCTCTGATACCTCAAGCACAATATGAAGTCTTCATGATCGGTAATGATTAATAACCTTATTCTTCATAAATACCACTGCAATTTGTGCAGCCAAATTCACAGTTGCAATTTATTATTTCAGTTTTGTAATTTCCTACTTTTGGTCCCGGGCTCCAATCTACCATGTCCCCCAAAATCCACCTAAAGTATGGACCATTCCATCAAACTTCTAAAAAAGGTAGAATAAACTTTTTCCCACTTGGGGGTGGCACTCAGTTCTTGGTTCACAAAAATACAACAATGAAGGGTGTTCTCTGGATCAACGCATTGAAGGTAAAAGGAGATTGGGCATGACAGAATTCACTGTTGATGTTCTTCTATAAGGAGCATCTCTTACCATTTCAGTTTATAAGATCTGATGCTGTTGCCAACATAATTCTTTTCCATATCAAGTAATAAACACATTTGACTATCTTGACACAAAGACCTGCCATCGGAATTCCAATCTACAGTTTCCAGTTTCAAAATTTTATTTCCCCTTCCACCCTCTACCCTCTCACACACATACTTGTGCTATTAGTATGCAAATGAGGAGTAAAGCTGTTAAATATAAGGTGAAATTGCCTTCAACCATAGAGTAGTCATATTTATTCCCTCAGAATATTGCTAGAATTTTCCCAATACAGTAGAAGAGTAGATTTAAATCTTTTTAATAATGCTCGTTTTTATAAAAATAAAAGAGACTATAACTCTGACTATGTATATTCAGTGCTAATAAAAAAGATGAGGATGATTAGAATTGGCAGAAAGATGTTGAATCTACTTAATTAAATTTCTTCAAGGAAAAGCATCAAGTGAATAAGAGAAATAAGATTCTTTTGGTCATATTTTTTTTTGTTGGTGGAATACAATCAAAAGAGAAAGAACTAATGTCTCAGACACTCTTAGATCTGACCAAAGCATATGTGGGATAAATCGTTTCTGGTCCATCAGTTGAAAGAGTTAACTCAAACATCAAAGAGTTAATCCACTGAAATTTGCTGCTCATTCTTTTTGAAAAGATACCATGTTCCTACATAGAACAAGCTGCTGAGCAAAGAGATAGTTGACTTATTCAATGAGCGTCATCAAAAAGTCACACTGTAATGTATAAGCATCTTAAACAGTGCTTTGGAAAACCTTGTACCTTTCACTTTCAAAACCATATATACCTTTTATCTTCAAGAAGAAACCATGATATTGACCAGAATGAAGCTCATCAAGAAAATGCCCTAAAATTTTTCTTTGTAATTACAATATTCTCTCTGTGTTGGTAGTAATAAAAATGGAAATATCCATTAAATATTGCCTCTTTGGGGAAAAAAAGGTGTTTATAGTGTATATAGAACAGCAAGAAGACAAACAGGTTTTGTTCATGAACAATTACCACTTGATGCAATCAGAAGAAAACATATAAGAAACAAAGTGATAAGATCTTGCAATCACTGTTGGAAAGACACATCTCCTTTAACTACTGATTTTGGATAGCCTGTGTGTGGGATATTTGTTTTGTATATTCTTTTAGTGTCTTCTCCATTAGCTGGCCACCAAAAGTTCTTCAAATGCTGAAATCTCTTATGATAATTCATCTTGTTACAGTGGTTCACCTTTGATGTGCTTTTCATTGATCAAGACAGCAACATACTTTAGCAGCATTGTCTTCGCATAAGACAATTGTGAAGATTAAGATCTCAAAGCAATTTCACTTTGGCAGCCAGAATCATTCCAATGACATAACTGTATTTCAAACAATTGCTTTTTCTCAGGGACTCACCTGAATCTAGGCTAAGAAATTAAACAATCTGCTACAAAGAAAAGTGAAAAATCTTTCAGTCTGAGAGTTGTGTGGATCATCCCTGAGTCCAGTGCACAAATTCCTCAGAAGTAAGAAGTTAAACTGTATAATATAGCAAGGATTCTACTATACAAACTTGGTATTTTAAATTACACACCAAAAAAGAGCCATGTGGCAAAATGATTTTCAAAATATTATTTTCTTGTAGATTAATTCCATGTTTCTTGGCTCTGCACTTAGCACATGAGCTGAGCTGGAAATGAAGCATATCCATCTGGCGTGGTTACATTCTGTCTGCTATTTTCCACTCCATTTTGCTTTCAGAATTTTGCAAACAATTTTCGCCAGAAACTAAGTAGGAAGTATATTTGCTTTGACTGAGTGGCTGATATCCAAATTAAAGTATGTTGATAAAGAATTACAGGAGCATTTCATAATCTGATGTCCTGCTGATGGTTATAGGTTGAAGGAAGCTATCCATAGATTGATAATAATGATGGACAATAGCTGTATAAATAAGTAAGCCAACAAGAGATATTCACCAGCAAGAATTTATTAAGAGCAAATCAACTCATCTTCATTTTCATTTGTGTTTTAAGCAGATGTAAACTGAGAAAATATTAGAAGCACTAGTACTACTATACTTTTTTTTAAAAAGAATCTATATGCCTAGGGTATGTAAATACTTAGAAACAATATTGGTGTATTAAAAATCCTCACATTAATTTGGGGTTTTTTTGCTCATGTTCTGATGAGAGATTGCTGATTTCCTTTAAGAACCTATATATGAATACTTAAAACAATACTAAAATAGGACTCTGAAGACAGGACAGAACATTATTAATTTCTAAATGATTTCTCCCAACAAAATTAAATAACTTTCTTTTACATTTATACTATAATGAAATCTCTTTAAAAATAATTAAAGCTGAAAAGGACCAGCAACTTCTGTTTAAGTATAGCCAAAAGCCATAATGCCAAATGAAATAAACCTTTCTTATCATCTGTAACAGAAATATACTGTGCATCTTTGGACCACTACCAGTTCCTTTACATTAGTACAAGAGGTATATTTCAAAATGTGTGAAGTATTTCTGTCATGGCTTATTCTCATATTATGTCTGCCAGTGCTGAGAATTAGATCTCCCTCAAGAAAGTTCCTTATAGATACTAGAATGTAAAAAAGATGTTGAGACTCTAGAAAGAGTACAGAGAAAAGCAACAAAGATGATTAGGGGACTGGAGGCTAAAGCATATAAGGAACGGCTGCTGGAATTAGGTATGTCTAGTTTAATGAAGAGAAGGATGAGGGGGGACATGATAGCAATCTTCCAATATCTCAAGGGCTGCCATAAAGAAGAGGGAGTCAAGCTATTCTCCAAAGCGCCTGAGGGCAGGACAAGAAGCAACGGATGGAAACTAATCAAGGAGACAAGCAACCTAGAACTAAGGAGAAACTTCCTGACAGTTAGAACAATTAACCAGTGGAACAACCTGCTTCCAGAAGCGGTGAATGCTCCAACGCTGGAAGTTTTTAAGAGACTGGACAGCCATTTGTCCGAAATGGTATACGGTTTCCTGCCTGAGCAGGGGGTTGGACTAGATGACCTCCAAGGTCCCTTCCAACTTTATTATTATTATTATTAATATGAAGTGCTTTCAAGACTCAAATGTAAATATCTTCCAATCATGACTATATAAACTGATGGGAAACCAATGCTTCCATATAAATGAAATTACATTTATTAGATGCTTTCATAGTAGTGATCTCATGACTGCTCAAGGTTTTATTAATAAGATGGGTTAGAAAGGATCTTTGCTATCTTTTCTATGCTATCAATTTTACTGATGACTAAAAACCAGGAACCATATAGAAGCCATAACTCTTTAGTAGGCTCCGAGATCTTGATCACAAAGCAGGGCCTGCACAAAGGAATAGGAGTAGTAGTGTGGGATGGAAAAGCAGTAGCCAATGGGGTTGGCAGTGTGACAGTCATTCATTGGGGTTTGTTTTACCTGTTTCCACTGAGGTATTGGGGCATGGCGGCCCTGCTCTCGCTGTCGATAGGCGGGATGGCTGAGAGCACGGTCTTGATAAGGCTGGGCAGAACGTTGTATGCAGATCATAACATGCCCACGATGGTGGGCATTTCCAGAAAAGGTAAAAACAGAACTCACAAAGAAACACACAAAGGGACAGGGTAGACACCAAGGAGGGGGAAAAATGGAGTAAGGAAAAATTAGTTGGCAAAAAATAAAAATAAAATAGAGAAATACTTAAAAATGGAAGAAAAAAAAAGGAAGACAGAAACTTAGCCATGAGGAGGCCATCTGTCTCCTATTATTTAGACAAGTTATTTGAATAGGGTTTAGATTGGAAGTGAACTAATAGAGAGGAAAAAAATCCTAAAATAATCACAGTACAGATGTTTTAATCCATTCTTCACGCCAACAGTATCTTTACCGGGTATCATTTGAAATTCTGGCATTCCATTTGCAGCACATTGCAAATTGGATATAATGCTCACTGGAAAAAGATATGTCTCCTGCGGTGCTCAGTCAAGTTAAATAAATCCTCTAGGATTCCTGGGTGAAGCCAGTTATTTGAACCACTTTCTCAAGCCGAGAAGCTGGTTATATATTAATGATTCATTGCCACAGCTACTGAAAACTGTCTTCTGTATGTTGAACAGATGGCAATTCATCAAAGATTATTTTACAAAGGAGTTCCCTGAAGACTACATTTAACTCCAGGATGAGCACAAAATGGGGGCTCTCAAGCAGTAGCTTTCATGACCTGGGAACTTGATCAGGCCTCCAATCCCAAACTGTTTCTAGACACTGAGCAAAGAAATGGCAACTTGCCAGCCTATCTCTGTATTCCAATACTGCTCTTTGACAGATTGGCATAAAACTCCACCAGAATTAAAAAGAGCTTCTTTATTCCTAGAATGCAAGAATAGCTTTTATAACTTGTTTGGCTACAGAGGGAGACTGCATGCCCTCCAATCAAATTCAGATGTCCCAAGGCAAGAAGATCCATCCTTTATCAAAGCATTGACTAAAGCCCCAAATGCATCCAATATGAGCTCCCTTCTCACCTGTCTCCGGAGGCCTGTGGACGGTACAGGGGCATTCTCCTCAAATTTGGCTAGCAGCTGGGTTGCCATGGACTTCACTTTATTCTGGTTCCCAATAGCAGCATCAATTCGTCTCTCGGTCAGAGCACTTACAAGGGTGGGCCTGTCTTCACGACAGCTTCTTGAAGTGTCCTCCTATAAATCAGTGTCAAGTATGGATTAAGATGCACTTCAAAATTCCTCCACCCAATTCCAGTTCTGAGCATCATTATGAATTCTGAAACATAATTCTCGTTCTTGCCAGTTTGGTTTGCTCACCATACCTATTTTTCTCCAAGTTCAAAGTAACTGAATTTTACCATCAAATTAAAAAAGAATCGGTATAGAGTATAGACAAAAGATTTATACGATCTGAAGAGAAACCAGAGTATAGAGTAGGCATAATTCCTCATTGTCAAGAGAATATGCTGTGCATATAAAATATTTTAGATCTAACGCACACATACTAGAAGGATCAGCTATTTGATAAAGCCTGAGGAGCAACAGCTTTCTCTGACAAGACTGAATCTGTGGCACATGTGTGGCTAGATAATCCCGTTATATTACATTTGGCTCATTAAATCATTTATTATCAAGCTTTCACAATCACTGAATTACAATCAGTGATTATAAATCAGTGATTATAGATCAGCTGCTGCAAGATTACAGCACTGAAACATCTAAGCAGGTTTCAAAATTCCAAATAGTGGTGATTAGAGCAGTGGTTCTCAACCTTTCTAATGCCGCGACCCTATAATACAGTTCCCCATGTTGTGGTGACCCCCAACCACTTATACATCACCGGGTGCCAGGGGTGTGACCAAAGAAAAGGGGGGGAAAAATGGCAGACAGCCTTGTTTGGCGACCCCCGTGAAATGGTTGTTCGACCCCAAATGGGGTCCCGACCCACAGGTTGAGAACCACTGGATTAGAGTGTGTCTGCTCTACAAGCAATAATCCAGGTTCTTTTCTTTTCATCTCTCTCCTCTGTAACTTTTGAGTACCTTGTTCCAGATTCTCTTGCTAGTTTGTGTGTAGAACTTTGATATCATTCTTTTTTTTGTAAATATTTTATTAATTTCAAGTTTTACAATCATAAGTACTTAATAAACAATTCAGAGTCTGGGTTCCTTTATCATTCAGTGGTATATATTAACTTTCATTCAAAATATCCAATACTACACCATCCAGTATTTCCCAGGTCTTCTCTTCTTCCAATAATCATCATTTTTCCACACTATGCAAGTATAATTCTTGCTGCTATTAATATCTATACAATTAAATATAAAACATCTTTGTCACATGTTTCTAATGTTATACATAGTGTCAATAATATTAGTTTATAATATCTTCTCTAGCCAAAACATATATCAAATGTATTTGCAATCAATCCATATCCTTTTTTTTTTCAATTTTAATTTCCCGTCAATATTCAAAATAACTTTATCAATTATGATTTTTCTCATAATTAATTACATATAGGTAATTAAAAGCTTCCCTTATACCAACCCTCTTAGTATTTTCATTATTTCCCATCTCATAAAAAATTATGTTATCCTAGTTACAAATCACTTCCTTCTAATTTATAATGGTCCTTTTATTTCTAATAATTGTCTATTCTTTTAATCATATTCAAACATCCACTAGATGGTATAATACCTCATCTAATTAGTCAGGACCTCTATTTTCTTCAGTCTTAATCTAGTTTTCTTCCTTTGCCAAATATCTTTGCAAATCAGTGCATTTAGGTCACCAAGTATTTCTTCCTCTGTTTTTGTATATATTATTTGAAATAAAAAAGACAATTTAATTAAAGTGTTTTTATAAAAACATTTAATCCATTTATATTTGTTAAACAGCCTCCATTTTCTTTCTCCTTCAGTTTCTTGTTCCCCAGTTTTCAGCATTTCTCCTAACAGTTCTGTCATCCATTCTATCAATTCTTCTTCCTTGTCTTCAAATATGTTCTGAAGTCTTGAAAAGTAAAATGTCTTTCCCATTTCCAGTGTTATATCTTCCAAATTTTTATTTATCTGTGCCTTTCTGATTGTTTCTTCTTTCGAATCCTCTATCTTTATGTCAGTTTCCTCTATTTTGTCTTCTGGTTTCTGAGTTGCTAGTTCATTCTTTATGGTCATTTTCTGAATGTTTTTTGCTTGTAAGTTTAAGGTGGAGAGTTACTCTTTTATGTTATTTAAATTATTTTTAGTCTCCTCATAATTTAAAACAATTGTTTCTTAAATTGATTTCAATATGGAAAGAATTTCTTTCTGAAGTCCATTTACATTTTCTTGTTGATTATACATGTTTCTTCCAAAGAGAAATAGTCCAGAAGCAACTTTCCCATTGTTTCTTGATAATTCTTGAAATTAAAAGTCAGTCAATATTTGTAATCCAGGCTGGCCAATTTAGAATGGTTTATTTTCTCCTTTATACAGATAAAACAGCCCAAGGATTCCCCCCCCCCCTTTCCCAGCTGCAGTCTGCAAAATTGAAAGTTTCCAGGAACAACAAAGAGCCTTATCTTTGTCCGGGCTTTGTGTCAAATTTTAAGCATAATAAATTGCAATGCCAAGGTTCACCACTAAATGTTGTTAACATCCATCTTCCAGCTCTTAAGTCCAAACCTATTTCACCAACTTTTCAAATATCTTTTCAAAAAGAAAGTCTTAAAAATACTTCTAGTCCCCAAATTAATCTTGTAGTTTTCTGTAATTTCCCTCCAAGAAAGTTATTTGCTGCTTCTCTTTTCCTGAGAGAATGGGCAGAAATTCCTCTTCTATCATCTGGGGGATTCTTTGCTTTGGGAATTCTTTTTTCCAGGAAGAGGCTTTAAAATTATAAAGAGAGGATTGTTCTCACCCAATTCCATCCGTGTTGTTCAGAAGTTGCTAGTTAGTGCTTATCTTGGGTTGTCAATGGCTTCTGGCTGGTTTCTTCTGCCGGTTTGAAGGGCTTCCTCGGATCAAATGGAAAGGCTGTCTGCAATCTATGAGGGTCCCCTTCTTCTTCGTCACCTCTCCAGGGCGACTTTAGACCCTTTTTAGGGTCCCCAGCAAAGCAAAATCGGACGTGGAAAACGGAGCCTCGTTTTCCTGAGCCCGTTATGCCACGACGTCTAACCAGGAACAACTTTGATATAATTCATAATACTTTACTCTTTACCAAGTTCCACATACTTATTATGCTGACTTTTTTTTCTGGGTATACATTAATTTTATTATAATAAATCTCTCTATTTATTTCTCTCTCCTATGATCTATGGCCATTTACAAAAACAAATTAAAAATGCAAAGTCCCCATGTTCAGCTAAGGAAAGCAAAGAAAAACAAATCGTATTGGTTCAGAATTACAAATGTTAATGTGTAATCTTCTATCGGGATATATCATGTATTTTAAAATTCGCTTTACACAAGATTGTTTCCTAAACCCTAGAAGGGGAGGAAAGCAGTCTCTGAGCTTTTTAGCACATGGAGAATCACATAAATGACCAATCCTTTGTACAAGCTAAACCCCTAAAGGTACAAAAGAGAATGTCAAAGCAAAGGCAGAATGGTTCATCTTAATATCCAACTGTACAGATATGGTTGGGTTTATTTTTACTTTATTTTATTTACTTTATTCTAGAAATATTCTAATTGTTACTGTAAACTGCCCAGAGTCACTTAGGTGAGATTGGCAGTGTAAATATGTGATAAATAAAATATTCAGATGTGTCCATGATCAATCACATCAACTGTTGGAAATGAAAGCTCAGAAACACACTTTCCTCCCCATCTAATATTTGTAGAAATTAAAGCTGGTGATTAAGCATCTTTTAAACTACATGGCAGCCATTCAATGACTTCTTAAGGATTAGAAACCCCAGTGACTCTGAGTAAGAAGCTTAGTAATGTGGGCTTCAGGTTTCTTGCTGCTACAAATCCCAAAACTGTGCTGAGGAATGCAAGATTCTTCTGAGCTCTAGTCAGATCTCAACCTCTTAAAATTAAGTTCTTACTCCTTTATTTACAGTGGTATGTACATTGCTTACTCAAGCAAATCTAGGTAGTTTACAAGAGCAAGATATCCATAAAATCCAAATATTAAATATCTTTTTAACAAAAATTGGTGCTGTGGCTTCCAAACTCAAAATATTTTCAGCTGCTTCCTAATGTATAAAATGATAGAGGCAAGCCTAAACCCAGAGAATAAAGTGTCTCACAATTAGAGATTGCTGTTTTTTTGGGGGGGGGGCTTCTACACCTCTGATCTCTTAAAGGGGGAGGTACCCATTGCATCTTCTCACAGCCAAAGTTTGATGGGCAAATTTAACCTGGAGAAGATAGTCCCAAAGGGAACAAGGGGACAAGCCCATTCTCAGAATGAGTGCTAATAGTTCTAGCTAATAGGTTGACTGTGGTTTGGCAAATCAAACCTGGAATATTTTAGCTCTTGATTTCAATTTATTTTAACTGTTGCATTCAATTTATTTTGGCTTTTGCATTTATTTCATTTGAAGTAGAAATTGCTAATTTAAAAATGCACAGTTCAATGCAGTCTGCAAACATATGATCCCTGACTCCTCTAATTTAAATTAGCTAAGATTCTAAAATGAACAGGAATTTGAAAAATGAAAACAGTGTTACTTACGTCTTCTGACTGACTGGTTTTCCTCCTCTTTCCTGAACCATCCAGATCTTTCTCTTTTTTATCCTAAGCAGAAGAAAGATAATTCTGAGCTCCCATTGTCTCTATATCAGATTTTATATTTTGATAATGTTATTATTCCTGTTTTTCCCATCTTGAGAACAACCTGAGGACCTCTTTCTGAAGTGAGCCAGTGTGTCTGCAACTTTTTAGTTCAGCCTATTCAATGATCCACTACAACCTCTATTGGAAGAACTGGGACAATGTGCCCTGATTTGATCACAGGTAGTCCTCAACTTACATCTTAACTGAGTCTGGCATTATGATCGTATGTCACTGCAGTCGTAAGTCGAGGCATCAGATGACCACACTCTATTTTTTGGCAATTTGTTTTTGGTGGTGTTCATTAAGGAAACAACCATGGTTGTAAAGCAGATGCTGCGATCGTTAAGTGAATCAATTTTCCCCACAGGGCAGTTTTTGCCAGAAAACGGAAATAAATACTGGAAGCTGGCAAAAACATTGCAACTACATTTTAGGGGGGTCTGCCTGTCAAGCTCAAAGCTTGACAGAGTCATCATGTGACCATGGGATGCTGCAAACAGTTATAAAGGTGAGCTGGTTGCCAAGTGCCCAAAATTCAATCATATGGGGTTTGTGTGTTTGTGTATGTTTGTGTTAACTTTGAAAACAAGTCATTAGTAGCTGGGGGGAGTCCACTGTAACTTTGAACAATTACTAAGTGACTGGTCATAAGTTGAGGAGTACCTGCAGTTATCCATGCAACAACCTTTCAGAGTTGATGCCATATACATATACATTATTATATGTATAATAATATTACACATATCTATAAGTATCTGTTATAGATCTGTTTGTAATTCAGAGACCACAGGTGTTTCCATTTGAAACTTCTACTTCAGTTCAAATAAGGGCCACCAGGAACCGACTCTTTTGCATACAAACTTTTAGCACCCATTTGGCAAGGCTACTTTTTCTTGATTTTCAGATATTACTGATTATCTATATGAAGCATAGCTTTTACACTCATTCTACCTACTGTACATTAGCAAAGTAACCAAGTAAATAATGACAATCTTTCAGAGCAAAATAGATAAAATGAATTTTTACAGATGTGCAGACTCTAAAAAAAGCCAGTGAATGACCATCATAGTCATCATTCTAGTAGATAAACACTGTCAGCACCAGTCACTCAGAGCTTCTCTTCCTAGCTACCCAATAACTATATGATGCTCAAAAACCATGCACCCAACTTCATATCAAAACACAGCCTTTAGGAATTCAATACAGTAAAAACTTAATTCTCTAACTTCCATTCAGTTGATTTTGGATACACTGGATATTTTAGTTTGGACTTCACCCTCAAACTTCGAGCAAAATCTATTATTTCTAAAATTATTTCCAACACTGAGAAAATTATGACCAATTGGTTCATTTGCATAATTACACAATGCAAATAATATAAATTTGGATTTAACAGATGTTCCTTCAAGTGGGCTATTAAATTACAACATTATGGAGATTTACCTTTATTTCAAAAAACATTGTTATTACCTTTGGTGTCCGTTTCCGTGAAATGGTCTGTCCCAACTTGCTTAGGAAGGAAATTGGTGATTTGGTGTTAGTAATTAAAGCAGCTTTTTCTTCTGCATTCAATTCCAGATTATCTATAAAAATAAGTAAAAAAATCAATGGAGGCATCACAAAATCAGAAATCTCCCAAAGTTGGGGCTTTGATGTTGGCTCTTTGTGACACAAGTATAGCTATTTCTACTGTCTACATTCGATTGCAAACCATAAAACCTAATCCTCTATTTAATCTTTTTTCCATTTTAGGAATTGATTTTTATTCTGATCATTTAAGATCCATAATAGGACAATATCTGTCTCCCTCAAGTAGAGAGGGGAGCATGAGAGTGGGGACACTTAACAAGGAAGGCATTATTTTTAAAACATATTTATGTATTCTTTATCTCCAAAGTTAAAATACAAGATATTATTTTTCTGTGATCAATTTATTTTCATATGCTTACTGCAAAATTACTTTAGCTTTGGCAACACAACTACATTTTCAGATAGCATTGCTATAATCCATTTGGTTAGGTCATATAAGGTACATGTTTTTCACTACAACCTGTTATTCAGACTTGCTCTAACAGAAAGTTTTCAACTTTCTTCCTCTAGAACAGGCATGTCAAACTGCCGGCCCGCAGGCCAGATGCCTCATACCGAAACTGTTCCCACCCCATTGCCGGCAATGGGGAAAAAGTCGCAATACGTCGCACAACGTCACGTGACATTGCGAGTTTGACATGCCAGCTCTAGAAGTTCCTACTTCTATTAAGGTCACATTTTTGTCTTTAATATTAAATAGAAACAGAACCAGTTTGAACATTTTTGCATAATTCATCAGCAATGTAAAAATATCACAAAGGTAAAGAGTTAATCTCAATGGGAAGACACTATGACTATGACAGTAGCAGACAGATCAACCTTCTGTCTCATCACCTCAAAAATAGTTCAGTCCAGAACGCTTCACAAAATAATGTCTTGTGAGAACAGTTGGGATTCCAGCTTGTTATATTGTATTCACTATCTTAATATGGGGGAAAAATTAGGCACAGAAAACATTCAGCATCAAAAGAAAATAAATTTTCTTCTGGAATAGAACAAGAGCAGTCCATTCTATATTGCAACTTTCAAAGATTGTAGTAGATTCATAATATGTATCTTACCATTGGAAGGAAGAGAGTCCTTGAACATCTCATAAAATTGGGTGAGATACATGACCATGGACAACTTGTCTGGTTCACTAACTGATGCCATATCTCTGCCTGTCATGATGGGGGATATTCCAAGCTCTTTCTCAGCAACATCAAATGCTAGCTGATTATTCTTCTCGATATTGTATTCATCTAGAGAATCAAAATCTCTGGAAGAGAAAAATGCATTTTCTAAATTATAACAAAAACTCTATCTACTATTGCTTACGAAAATATAAACACCCCCTCAATTGCCTGACTGAATTTCTTCAAATAGCCATTCACAAGCAAATCCTATTGCTTACATCAAGTCTGGACGAAATCGATGAATAATAGCACACAGTGCTAGGCCACTCTTCCATGACGTTGTAAGATCTGTTATGTTCACACCAGCATATCCATCTGTCTGCCTCTGACACCAGCCCAGAAGTTTGCTAGAACGGGCCACAGACTCTGAAATAAACATTGTGATGCAGTATTTTAGTTTTTGATGTGACTATGCAACTACTAGTATTCTCAATCATTTTGGTGGACAAAGGCCAGTTGTAATATTTGGGCAGGGAACTAAGAAAAACAAAATAGCTGAGTTGCGTGCACAGGGTTTGGGAAGGAATTTGACAATTGTCTTTCCTTTTTTTTTCTTTTAAAAAAACTATTTCTGTTTCCCAACTCAAAATGGCCCAAGAACTGTGACACCAGTCTTCAACAATCATGCTTAGGAGGGATAGCTTGGGCACTGAAAATGGAATTCAAAGTAACATGAAGCCCCAGGGCTATGGGCTGTCCATCCCCATTATAAATCAAATTTATTCTAACTGGTGCTCTTCATATATATTGGACTAGAGACTAAAGAATTTCATGCCAATATTGTATAAAGTGCATGTTGGCCAAGAATTCTGAAGGCTGTAACATAACACTTAATGGGGCATTGCATTAGGAAAGATTGTTTATAAACTCAGAGTTACATCACTCACAAAATACCAATTTCCTGGTTTTAATAGCATGGCAAAACCCTCCGTTTCTCTGCTTTTAATGCACACAGAGCACTAAGGAAAATGTTTTTATTCTCATTCTTATCCATAAGAATGTAAGTGTACATAAGTGAATACCAAGTATATTTATAAGAGCCTGAGGGTCAAAGAGATCACTAATGGCTACAACACAGCTTAAGTAAATATCCAGCCAATATTCTCTTAATGCACTATTTGAAAATGGCAGCTGGCATGGAGTCCAATTTCAAATTTCCAGGAAGGGAAGAAAAAAAGACAGTAACAAACGAATACATGGAATGACTTACCATTCCGTGATAACTTTGGTGTCCTAGAATTCATCAAATTTTCTATCTCCAGATGAATATCCTTCAAGTCTCCTGTATCATACAAATGACGTACCTGCAGCAATCCAAAAACAGTGCACGTATCACATCAAATGTCAAGATAATAACAAAGCAATTAATTGTTCATTGGCCAAAGAGTGGGCAAACTGTATTAAGTATCTGCAGAAAACTCACTTCTAATATAACACAGGAAGCCAGAAAGATTGGTGGCTAATTACTCTTGCTTGGAATGATACTTAATTTTAATGCATTTGAACATTGCATATTGTCTAAAAACTATCCTAAACTGTTTCCACATTTGCCTCTATAAGACACCCCAGGATTCACTGAGATCTCCCATCTAATTGTTTAATAGGACCAATGATGTTCCTCCTCCAAAACTGGATTAGGGTAGCCAGTGGCTACCACTTGTTTATACCTTTTATGGAATAAAGATTACCAAAAAGATCTGCCCACATAATTCTGAAATTATTTCCTTTTCCAATAGACCTTTTGTTTTAATTATTTGGACAGGCATATAAAATAAACAATCGTTTCTATTATTTAATATCCTTCCATGGACATAAATGAACATAACTACTCAAAGTCAAAAGTGATACCAAGACTTCTTTTGTGACCAGCTTTGATTTATTCTGTTCGGTTGCTGCAGCTGACATGTTATGCTGTACCACTTCAGTACTGTATTTATATTACTTTAATGCTGTTTCTTCAACTGGTTGCATAAGGTGTCCATCATATATCCTGGAACCTCACAGGACAGAGCCAATTACCTGGCTTGGCCTTAGGAAATTGACATTGATGTTGGGGTATCGAGTGACAGGATCAATGCTGTATTGGCTGAAGTTCTTGCTGACATTCTCCGGTGTAGTTTGAGGCAGCAACCTATAGATGCTCTCTCTAGGAAAAATAGGACAATGATGCCTGGTTTAGTGATATAAAAAACATTGACAGACATGACTTCACTTCTAAGAGCAAAGGATGGCATCTACTGTTGTGTCCCAACTACAGGTAGTCCTTGACTTACAATCATTAATTCTGTGCCCATTCGAAGTTAAAAATGGCACTGTAAAAAGGGACTTATGACCGTTTTTCACACTTATGACCATAGTAGCACTGCCCATGTTCACATGATCAAAATTCAAATACTTGGCAACTCGTTCGTATTTATGATGGTTGCAGTGTCCCAGGGTCATGTGATCACCTTTTGCAACTTTCTGACAAGCAAAATCAATGGGGAAGCCAGATTCACTAAACAACAGTGTTACTAACTTAACAACTGCAGTGATTCTTTTAACAACTGTGGCAAGAAAGGTCACAAAATGGGGCAAAATGCACTTAGCAACTGTCTTGCTTAGCAACAGAAATCTGGGGCTCAATTGTGGTCATAAATCATGTATTTCTGTCAAATACTTTTCCGCATCTAGAATAATTGCCTGATCCATACTCAAACAGCTTAAATCTAGCATTTATATTTTCAAATTAATGAAAGAGGGCCCTTTCTGAATCTTCCATATTGCAAGAGACTTCTGTGTTTAACTGAGCTGGTTGGTTGGGTAAGCAGAGAAAGGAACTCCTCTTCAGAGGCAAGTAAAATAGAGAAGAAGTCATCTTGATTATGGTTACTCACTGCCAGTGAAGTATATACCAACGGAATTTTTTATTTTTTTTGCCATGCAAAAATAAGTAAAATGGTGTCTGACAAACTGCACATTTTGTGCAGTCTTCAAACCAGGACAATGCTTTGTGTCTGTTGAGAGGAACCAAATGCAATGAGAAAACCAAAAAGGTGAGTGACACTAGGCTGGAATATTTAAGGGAGTTAAACAAGAGAAAAAGAGGCAGTTATTAATGAGCATTATGTTGTTAATTCTTTTATGAAATGAAACTCAAGGGGAGCAGGAAATAATTAATATTTAGCAAAAAGACATGCAGGTTTTTGTACTGCCATCATTTTTCCATATTTTACCATCTCCTCCAATGTACAAAAAGTGAAGTTAATAATGCTATTGTTTAATGAAAGAAAAATGCATATTGGAAAAGAATACAGTAGGTTTTAATTACACTGCTGTTTACCTCAAACTTTTTAAGACAGGTAAGTGTACTATATAATAGCTCATTTTCAAATGATCAGTTCCTGTAATTCTGAAAGGCTGCTGTATTCAATGCCATTTTAACAATGCCACTTAAATGTAGGTTTCAGTTATTTCAATCCATCCTGACTCATATGAACTACAACCTTGATTATGGTGTCTTATAATATTCTTGATCAACCTGTCTAGACAAATCTTCCGTGTCCTTTTTACATATCCCACAGAGTTAAATAATTCACTAAAACTGCCATTTTAAAAATGGCATTTTTAAAAATCACCAAACAGAGACTTACTTTTGTGCAGGTAGATATATATAAGATAAAACTATATGTCTATGCTCACACCACACACAAACTAAGCTAAAGGGGTTGAATAATTTCTCGTTCATATGTTGTGATAACCTAAACATTGTTTTGCAAGTTGAAGCAACTATGTCATTAAACTTTATATCGTTCGTTTTGGGCTTAGTGTTATGTGAACATAGCAATCGTGTTTTTTAACCTGAGTTTTGGGTTTAAGAATGTTGCCAATTAGAAGCATAATTAGGCAACTTTCCCTGTGTCCACCTGATTATGTTTAACTAGTTAAGTTTAAGCCATCTTTTACCCCATGCACAAAGAGAAAAGTGTGTTATTCCTTGCTAAACTATTGTAACTGAACACAGAAAATGATAAGTATCTCCGGATAACACATAAACTAGCACAGGGACAAATAAGAGGCCACAGAATTGACATATAGGAAGATGCTAATAAATGCACATACACTGCATATTTGATGAGCCTGAAGTTGCATACTCTTAGATATACAGTAGATACCTTTTAGATACATTTCCTGCTTATGACAGCATACACATGGATGTACAAACATGCAGACAGAGAAATAGGCATTTTGATACCTTTCTGCAAGGACCTCCAAAGGACTTGTTCCTAGGGACCAGCTTCGTACCATCCAGGCAGAGTCCATGGCAGCAAGAAAGCCTCTGGCTATTCCAGTTCCCATTGGCCAAAATGGCTGGAAACAATTATAAAAAGGGGTTGGGAGGAATAAGAGAAGGAAAAACATATTCCTTGGCATGTACACTGCAAAACTATTTTAAAACCCCAAGGGATCTGTAGGACAAGATCAGATGGGACTGCTAGAGATCACTCAAAGTTCTGGAATAATTTCATGAAGTCCAATATTTATATTGTGAACAGCCTCGTTTAATGCCAAATTAAAGACTCTATATAACCATGTTTTTCATACCAATGGAATATCAAGTAAATTTAAAATGTCAGAAATTCAGGTCATTCCTTTTTATGCTGAAATCAAAGTTACAACAAAACTCATTTACTCTTAAAACAACAATTCTAATCTCAACTGAACTGTTCATATTGCCTTTCCAGTCATCTTCAGAGATATCCGTGACTCCAAAAAGCATAAATATGCCCTCAATATATAACAATGAAATTACCTCAGATATGCACACGTGCTACTCATTTAATTTTTGAGGACAAAATGAAATTTCATTATGTTGAGTAACTTAATATTATTCGCTAAAACATATTAATGTACAAGTAGTTCTCAACGCATGATGATTCATTAATGATGGTTTAAAGTTACAATGGCCATGTAAAAATTACTTCACAACCTGTACCTGCACTTACAACTGTTGTATCACTCCTGTGGCACAAAAAAGCAGCTTAGTGTGTTCATTGGGGGAGCTGGATTCACTTAACAGCCACATGATTCGTTTAACGATCATAACAATTGTCATAAAAGTGGGTCTGATCAACCTCTTTAAGGAAAAGGTGGAAGAATCAGGATCAGAAAAAGGAAAGGAGGCGAGGTTGTTGTGCAGGAATACAATCTAATTTGAGGGCTAATCCACATGGAGCTCTGTTTCCATCTGTCCTGTTTGCCACCGTTCGTTCCCTAGTGATTAAAATGGACAATCTGAAATTTCAGCTGGAAGCCACGAACAAGGAGTGTATTTATTTATTAATTTATTTATTTTATTTATTAATGAAATTTATATGCCACCCAATCCCTAGGGACTCAGGGCGGCGTACAAAATTAAAACAAGTATAACAATTAAAAATGAATACATTCACACAGCATGTCCCAATCGAATCCCGGCCCCCCCGGGGACATCAACCCCAGGCCTGCCGGAACAGGAGAGTTTTAATAGCTTTTTTGAAGGCCGGCAAGGTGGGAGTAGTTCGAATCTTGGGGGGAAGTTGATTCCACCACGTCGGAGCCACCACAGAAAAGGCCCTTCCCCGAGGGCCCGCCAGCCGACATTGTCTGGCCGATGGGACCTGAAGAAGGCCCAATCTGTGGGACCTCACCGGTCTCTGGGAACTATGCGGCAGTAAGCGGCCCTGTAAGTAACCTGGTCCTAAGCCATGAAGGGCTTTAAAGGTGACAACCAACACCTTGAATTGCGTCCCGAGACCCACAGGAAGCCAGTGCAGCTCGCGGAGGATAGGTGACACGTGGGTGTACCTTGGTGCACCCACAATCGCTCTCGCGGCTGCATTCTGAACCAACTGCAGCCTCTGAACGCTCTTCAAGGGTAGCCTCATGTAAAGTGCATTACAGTAATCCAGTCTTGAGGTGACAAGGGCATGAGTAACCGTGAGTGTATATCGGAAGTGGTGGCCCTTTGAGAGCTGTATGCAACGAAATTTCATTTTGGTGTATGCCGATTGATGTACATTCAAAGTGACAATAAAGTTGTTATTGTCAAACAACAAAGTTGTTGTTATTATTGTTATTGTCGTGATATGACTTACAACCACACCAACTCACAACTGAAATTCAGACCCAATTTGTGGTCCTAAGTCAAGGGCTACCTGTATTTCTTGGGCAAAAAAAGATTTTAGAGAAGCAGAATGACTAAGCTAGACATACAGAAGAACAGTTTAAATGATAATTCAGTTCATAAGTGGGTAGCTAGGCTGCTGGAATCTATCTCCGCATTCACTTTCATTTATTTTCCTTAAAAATATTATTTTCATTATTTTCTGCAGTTTTTTAAAATCCTAGACTGGAAAACTTGAACAAAACTCAGTTTGCTTCCATTTTAAGTCCTTCAGGAAACGAGCTACACATTTCTTCTCAGGAAAAAGGCCTATGATGGTACTTTGAAATGGTACCTGTTTACCATTTTAGTAGTAAAGTGAGAATAAATATTAAAAGAAAACAAAAAAGAAAACAAAAAAGAAAATAGAACAAGTTCAAGTAAGACTTGTGGAGAACAAACCTCCAACAAGCTGTCCCCAACTAATGCCACAAGCAACTGGTGGCCATTTAATTCTCGAACCATGGCTGCGTTCTCTGAGGCATACATGCACGTGAAGTCAAACATCGCAACGTCGGGCTGTCCATAGTGGTTGATGGCAAAGTCCAGCGATGGCAGCTGCTGATTAGTTGAGAAGTCAGCAGCTTCTCTGGCATAGCTGAGCAGAGCCCCCTGGTCCACATTTTCTCGTGACAGTAACAGTTCCGTATCTGCATAATCCTGCCAGGCAAAATAAAAATGCACTGAAGATAACAGTACAGGAATTACTGTACTGAATTACAGATAGCTGACTTATAACCATTCATTTAATGATCATTGGAAGTTACAACGGCACCCAAAAAAAGTGACTGACAACCGGTTTTCACACTTACGACTGTTGCAACATCCCTATTGTCACGTGATCAAAATTCGGATGCTTGTCAACTGGCATGTATTTATGACAGTTGCACTGTCCTGGAGTCACGTGATCACTATTTGTAACCTTCCCAGCTGGTTTCCAAGAAGCCAGATTCTCTTAACAACTGCATGATTCATTTAACAACGGCAGTGATTTGCTTAACAACTGTGGCAAAAAAGGTTGTGAAATGGGACACTACTCATTTAACAACCGTTGCTTAGCAATGGAAATTCTGGGCTCAATTGTGGTTGTAAGTCGAGGGCTACCCGTACTGTTGCCAAGTCTGCCCAATGTTCCTTAGAGCAGTGTTTCCCAAACTTGACAATTTTAAGGCATGAGGACTTCAACTCCCAGAATTCCACAGCCAGCAACGCTGGCTATGGAATTCTGGGAGTTGAAGTCCACATGCCTTAAAATTGTCAAGTTTGGGAAACACTGCCTTAGAGAAACAGAAAGTACAAAGGAGATCACGCAAAATCTGACTGGATAGATCGATTATTTGTAGCACAATAATACTGACAATTGAGGTGGATCTGGTGTTTCTCTGCAATGGACTGCCTTCAGCATTCACATTTTTCATTATGGGCCAGAACAGTCAGTTTGACTTTCACAGCAGTTCATATTCATACAAAAATATGAAATGCACCAGTTGCTGGGGAACATGAGTGGAAGTAGCCGCATCTTCCTTTATCTGCTTCTCAATCGTTCCCTGTTGTGATCTTTTTGTGACACCACAAATCTGTATGTCTCTCCAGAGAAAGAAAAATGGATGCAATTCATTGTTTGAAGCTTATGCAGGAGAAAGCCCTCCTTACTTTGAACAAGTTGGCAATCGACATTTAATATAATAGTATTAAAATTCTATTATTCTGAATAAATTAGAAGGAAATAATTACTAAGGACAATTGATTCCACATCAGTTGTCTTAAAACAAAAAGATATTGTCCAAATAACCCTTCCTGCGACATTGGTTGTCCATGGTGGTTACTGCAAAAGATGGATAATTGTCCATTACAATCTGTTCTGAAGGATTATAGGGCAATGAAAACTAATATTATGATCCTCTAATCTTTTTAAGCAGGTCAATGGCCTCATCAATATAACTGAGGTTGTAATGAGCACACTTACGTGTAATATGACCCCTTTGTCCAGCAAGCTCTGTTTTTTGGCAGTCATGACAAAATAGTGTGTATCATCTTTGTAGTAGACAATGTTCTCTAGATCAATGCCTAAAATGGAATCAAGAAAGATCAAGGGTCAAGGAACAGGACCATAAATGCTTAGCCCAAATCAACAAAATGAGCTAAACACTGCCACCAATAGTAGTTATGCATATCAATTTAGCATGTTTGTCCACTCAGCTTCAAAAGATCACTTAGAACATAACTCACAAGGTCAGGTTCTCTATAAAATTCCTTCCACTCCATAATTGGATGATTCATTTAATACTGATTCTTGGCTGTCTTTCAAAAGAACGGCTTCTGAAAGCACAAATTAGGAAGCACCTTCTTTTAAATGGTCAAAGAATCATCTTCTTCCGGGCATGTCCAATTGCTTGGAAGTTGAGCCCAGTAAATTGTTTTGCTTGCTGGGAAAATGACTTTGTGTACAGAGACAAATGACAACAGCTCCCAAAGCAACTGCATGAGCCAGGGGAAAAATCTGGTTCCTTTAATGTTTTTTAAAAAAGATGTTTCCTGTGTATTCCTATCATAGCACTGGCAAAGTTCTAATGATTTCAGAAGCTTTAAGAAACCACATACAGGTAGTTCTTAACAAACATTCAAAGTTACATTTCGGGCTTGCATTTATGAGCAATTGTAGTGCCTTGCATAACACAACCATAATTTGTGACATTTGATGCTGGTTTCTGACAAAATAATGCCTGTTCAAGAAACAACTGCGGGGTCTCACTCTCTGACCATAGTAAAAATGGTCATAAAATTAAATCAGGTCACATAACCCATTTAATGACTGCAATGACAAACAACCAAAATTCTAGGTTTGATTGTGGTTATTAAATGAAGACTATCTGTTCTAGTTGCCAAAGATCTGGTTGCCATGAATACACAAAGAAAACATTCTGTAGAAGCTGCAAAACAAGCCCCTTCTTTTAGTTCATTAGTTACATGCAAACTGTAAAACTCACAGCGTTCATAGGCTAGGAGCATCTCTGGAACAAAGACATAATGAGATAACATTGCTTATTTTCAACTATCAATCATTTCTACAAACCAGTTGCTTCTCGAAGATCCTGGAAAAACTTCTGGTTGAAAATGAAAGCCACACCGCTGATCTCTTCAACCTTGGCTTCAGCTGTGGTATTCCGGTTGATAAAGTTTGCCGTGATAGCAATTGCCAGCTTCCCACGGAATTCTTTTCGCCGAAACCCTATAGAACAAATACACCATGACAAAACAGGCCTCAAATTTCAAATCATCTGCCTGAGGAAAAAAGTGACTCTAATTCTACATCTATAGTAATCTACCATGGATTTAATTTTCTCCCCTCCAAATGAAACTGCACTATCATGTCCATATACAAAGTAATGTGTAAAGAGCTATGGAATTAATATTATTTTTTGGAAACACGATAAACAAATGAAACATTACAGAAAAAAATACAATCCAAACAATTCCATACTTAGTTAAATCATCACTTTGCCTGGCCTTTCTCAATTCTGCCTTATAATAATTCTGGAAGTCCTTAGCTGAAAATTCTTTTCCCAGTTCCATTATATAGGACATAAAACTCGAAAATAACTTAATAACGAATCTCTTGTATGCAAATAACATGCTTGAACATACAGTCTATGTATCTAATATAATCTATTCTCATTGAAATGTCTCCCTGGATAAAGGGCCACAAGGAAAACAGCATAATGCAGTAATAAGCAGAGGCTACAGAATTCTTGCCTCTGTGGTAGACTTCTTTTCCTATCATCCTCAGCCAGCATGGCTAACCTGGCAATAGTTGGGTTGCAGGCATGTTCTACACATCAGGATAAACATCAGCCACAATTACCTTCCAAAGTATTTCGCCTTCCATCCCCTCCAATTATCACATCAAACTCATATTCTGATACAGGATGTGTTTTTGGATAGACTTGTGCACGCCAACCTATCCCTGTGGATAAATTATATATTAACAAAGCATGTACAAAATTGGATATAGACATGTAAATGGCTTAAACACTCAAGCAATATTTAACTGGGCCTTTCAGTATTTGTAAAGTGGAATAGTCACATACAGCCACTACTCATGATGGCCTGATTATACAAGAATAGAGGTAAAGAAGTCCCCATGGATCTTACTCTGCTAGCCATTGCTGACTATAGGGGGCAACGCTCATCTCTGTTTCAAGGGCCTTTGAGCCAGCACCGTCTAAAGCAGTGGTTCTCAACCTTTTTAATGCCGCGACCCCCAACCGGTCGTTAAGTCAAGGACTACTCAACCGGTCGTAAGTCGAGGACTACTCAACTGGTACAGTACCATTTGCAGAATGGGACTTTTGGCGGGCTCAGCAGGGCAGAGACAGCCTGGACAATTCCTATTGGCTTTTGAAAGCCAATAGAATTAGACTCTATTCAAGAGAGTCTATTCTATTGGCTTTCAAAAGCCAATAGAATAAAAGGGAGTAGCACAGCTAAGGAAAAGGGGGAAAAAATGGTGGACTGCGTTGTTTAGCGACCCCCGTGAAATGGTTGTTCGACCCCAAATGGGGTCCCGACCCACAGGTTGAGAACCACTGGTCTAAAGACATTTCTGCGACCATGTGGCCAGCAGGATGTTACAGAACACTGTTTCCTTCCCACTGAAGGGGTATTTACTTGCATTTGCATGCTTTCAAACTGCTAGATTGGCAGGAGCTCGGGTGAGGATGGGAGCTCACCCCGTTGCACTCATCTCAAACTTGGGCTATCTGCTTTCCAGCTGACAAGCCCAGTGTCTGAATCGTTGAGCCATCACACTGCATTATATAAGAGTAATTCCTTAGATATTGTATAAAGAGCAAGACTTTCACCCAGAGTCTGCTATCAATGCCAACCCTACTTACTCTCATTCTCCTGGTCCTCAGGAGGACAGAAAAGACCTTGAAATTCTACATTGACATGGATCTCAACACCGAGGATTAAGGAGACCTTCAAGAGTATCAGCTGAAGCTGACGAATACCTGAGAAACAGAAGCGTAAATAATAAAGACGAGACATTCTTCACAATTTATACTCCAATATCTGAAAGATCCGTTGGAAAATTTGTCACTTAAAATGTAATCTAGGCAACAATATGATTAAAAGCACCTGAAAATGCTGTCTACAGAAGAACTGTCCAAAGTAAGTTCCAAATGCAACTGGCCATAAATCAGACAAAACAAAACTATTCCAAGTTCTGTTCCATTTAATCATGATGGTCAGGAGAAAATTATTGTGTGGATTTCCTTCTTGAACAATTAAGCTGCCTATGGCACTTTTAGGCTTCTCTTTCGGGTAGTAACAGCTCCCAAAATAAGAGATTATTCCATGGAGAGTTGATTAAATTTTATTAACTTTTATCATATACAGATGACAGCTACATTTTCAGTCTAAAAGCATCGCACTGGATCTGTTATTAACCAGAGTTTGTTGTGAATGTAATCTCCATGTGAAAGTACACACCCCAGAATCCACATCCCTAAAAGTGAGGGATGGCTCTTTGATGCATACATGGACTAATATGGCATCAGAGTATCCAGAACTTCCAAATGCTGGCTATAGAAAGGTTTGAATACTAATTATTATTGTTCCCAGCAGATTTTGATGAACACTTGGGATCTCCAAGAAGTCCAAGAAATTGAAGCCAAGAAACTTCCGGAAACCTGTTATTTCTGGTAAACAGGTAAAACATAGAATTTGTGCTAGGTTTTTGACTTGTTTTCTGTGCTGTTCTAATCCTCATTTTCTTTGTCTCTGTAAACATCCTGGACATGAGTGTTTAATTTCAACTCTCATTTATGCTCCAGGTTATGTTAATGAAGATATAACTTTTTTCAAAAAGAAATTACAATATTTGTGACAGACACCACCACCACCTGCTGGTCTGTTCAGAATACTGCATTATCTTCTGGAATATTATTTCTTAATGAATTTGTAAGGCGCTGCATTACCATAAACTGGGGTTTTCTGAATCTATTTTCTTCCATACTGAATGTTATCATTTTAATACTTGCAAGAAAAAAAACCCCAATTTTTCATTTTACTTTATAAGAGCTTGATTTTCTTCATTTTCTGTGAGATCGATTGAGGTAAAGGGGAATCTTCTAATCACCACATCTCTATGATATATAATCAAGTAGAAATTATTTCATCTTTCGTATTGTTATCTTTTAAGCACCAGAAAGGCAACATAGGGTACAAGATCCTGCTCCACTTTCTCCCACTGGACTTATAGTATAGATGCCAGGTAAGCATCTCTGAATAATAGTAGGTAGGAACAGGAAACACACAGCTGCTATCCCAATGCAAAGCAGGGGGCTAGAGAATGAGAACCCAATTGAGTTTTGGGATAGGAGGCCTGGAACCTACCTTGTGGATCTCAGCATCCCTACTGGAATAAAAGCATATTTCTGATTTTTTAAAGAAGATTTTATTAAAGCTGGTGGTATATATATAAAAAATAAACTTCCAAGTTTTAAGTTACTCGTGCTTTCTCCTCAAATCTATACCTTATGCTTAGACTTTCATACTAGCTTCTCTTTCTTAAGTCTACCTCGTCAATGAAACCTGACACAATCCATTTGTCCTCAACCTTTACTATGGTGACATCATATACCAGTGATAACAAACCTTTTAGAGACCGAGTGTCCAAACTGCAACCCAAAACCCACTTATGCATCGTTGGGTGCCAGGTGGTGTGGCCCATTGGTTGGGTGTGGCCAATTGGTGGGTGTGGCCCACTGGGTGGGTGTGGCTGCGGTGGTAACGACAGACTGGGTTGGACTAAAAAATTCAATCAATCAATTCCAACTTTGCAAGATCTTTTTTTTCCATGAGAACTTGAAATTGACTGATTGATTTAACCTTTTTTTTTTTAGCACATGGCAGCACAGGCCTAAAGTGAAAAGGTTTTATAAAACCCAGCTGAAGGCCTAGGACTGGGGCAACGGCGCGCATGCCCACAGAGAGGGCTCTGAGTGTCACCTCTGGCACCCGTGCCATAGGTTTGCCATCACTGTCATATACTATCCACTCTTTCCACCTGTAAGTGGTCCTTACTGATATGGTCGATGGCTCCTGCGCAAAATTTGCCATAGAACTTTTTGGCGCCAAGGCCTCTCAAGTCATGAATGGTGAACGGCCACAGATGCAGAACATTGTTGCGGGAGAAGGCATCACGCTTTTCTATCACCACCACCTTTGCTCCTAAAAAGGTGAGATCAATGGCTGTCCGAAGGCCACAGGGTCCAGCCCCAATAATGAGACACTAGGAGAGAAGGAAAGAACAGGCATTATTATGCACACATGAACAGACTTTCTATGAACCAAAAAATTAAGAAAGTACTGAAGTAGAATAATTGTATCCTAAAATAAGCTTTCCAGACTTACTGCTGCAAAACAGTGTCATAGCTTCAGTCTGAACACTTACAATAACAACAAAGCTAGTAATTTTAAAAGCTCCATTTACCTGTATCAAGAAACTGCAGGATTTCAGACCACAATTTCCACTACAACATAGTTTGGTTAACTTAGAAAAGTGAATGCTACCTGCATGCATATGCTGCTTTGCAAAACTAATGCAGTTCTACAACATATAATCCATTTGGCCCAGAAACAGATGGGATTCCAAATAAGTAGTTGCTAGACTTCTACTTCAGACCTCAGAGCATTTTGGGAGAAGTATAGCTCAGTGGCAGAGGCCTAGAAACTGTTACAAGTTGCAGATGTTCAGGAAGATTATTGTCTGAGTTGTACTTATATTTTCCTTTACAATAATCCTGCAGCTTCAAGTGAGACCCTCTATAAAATTACAAGCAAGTTCCCAGGCACCACAATTAAAACCAAACCAGGCCAGGGATGGCTGAATTACAACAGCAGGAAACTGGTAGCTTGTGGGCTAAATGAGTACCCACCGGTGTCCCACAACACCTCAAAATTCAGCAAGACTACCAAATTAGCTTGCTTCTCAAGGGAATCCCTTCCCCCTCCCCTTCTAAGTAAGTGAAAAGATTTTAGCTCTGTTCTTTCCAGTGACAACATCTGGTTAGCCACCTGCAGCTGTCCAGAAGCTCCAATTACACCCTTCAACAGGTCAAACAGGGGCATACAGCTGTGCAACTTGATGGAGCAAAACATATAACTTCAGATGTCACATAGCTCTGGATGATTCCCCTTATCCAGATCAGATCCTAAAACTTTGCAGGGGGGAACAAATTATGGGGAAAGGTTCCAAGTCCCGTCTTAGTTGTACTAATTTTTATTTGCAGAGGAGTTTTGAGATAAGATAAGAAGATAAGATAACCTTTATTGTCATTTTTTTTACTGTGGGCACAACGGCACACATCAAAAATGAAATTTAGTTGCCCGCTCTCAAAGTAAAACACATACATGACACACACCTAAACATACTATATACAACATATGTATAGACCCACACCCTTACGTATACATAACAAATAAATATTAAATACTGTCCATCTTTAATCTTAAGTATTAAGGGCAACCCACGTCTGCAGCCAGAAGTACAGATAGTCCTTGACTTACAACCATTTAGTAACCGATTGAAGTTACAACGGCACTGAAAAAAGTGACTTATAATTCCTTTTCACATTTACAACTGTTGCAGCAGCCCAAGTTCACATAATCAAAATTCAGACGCCAGGCAACGGACTCATCTTTATGACAGTTGCAGTGTGCCAGGATCACCTTTTGTTTTTTATATATATTTTATTAAGTTTTTTCAGGATAGGGAAAAGCGAGGGTCATTATGAATGGTGGGGTTCAAGGGAGGATTTAGGGTGGGAATGGGTACAACAATGGGGTTGCCCCCAATAACATTTCACGCTTTAGCAAGCAAACTATCATCTGGATACAAGTATTCCACAGGGCTAACATAATGATCAGTAACTGTAGTCAACAAAAATAACAGAGATTATAAAGCATATCAATTAATCAAAAAAATCAATCATCTTAATAAATTTCAATTTCATTATCTCATTTTGCTAACCATTGATAAAAGTTTTCCCATGCTTTATAATAAACTGAGTCTTCTTTCTCTTTAATCTCTAACGTTAATCTATCCATTTCTGCACATTCTAAAATTTTCCTAATTATAATCTCATCGGGTGGAATATATCTTCATTTTTCCAGTATTGGGCAAATGCTATTCTCGCAGCTGTCAATATATGTAATATTAAATATTCATTCTCTTTCCCATAATTAGATCCTAGTATTCCTAGCAGAAACAATTCTGGCCTAAATTCTATATGTATTTTAGTTATCCTTTCCAGCCATGTATGAATCTTACGCCAGGATCACCTTTTATGACCTTCCGACAAAAAAAGTCAATAGGGAAGCCAGATTCAGTTAACAATTATGTTGCTAACTTAACAACTTCAGGGATTCACTGAACAAACTATGGCAAGAAACGTCGCAAAATGGGGCAAAATTCATTTAACAGAAGTCTTGCTTAGCAATGGATATTTAGGGTTCAACTGTGGTCCTAAGTCGTGGACTACTTATAACAACAATATATTCAATATATGATATATATATTCAATATATAATAATATATTAGAACCTTCTTTCTGCTGGATATGCAGACCATATTACAGATGTGAACCTCAAACTCTCCCTTTTGCTCTCTTATCCTCTTTTGCCTCTTGGTATTACTAGAATGAAACAAAATTGGTGGGAGATATTTATCCAAAACAACAAAGGCATCTGACATATAAGCAAATGTCTATGGAGATTGATTCTCAATCATCCAGGGCAGGGGTAGGCAACTTTGGCTCTTTTATGACTCGTGGACTTCAACTCCCAGAATTCCTCAGCCAGCCATGCTGAGGGGAAAGGGAGAGGTTTCCAAGCTGAGCCATGCTGGCTCAGGAATTCTGGGAGTTGAAGTCCACGAGTCATAAAAGAGCCAAGGTTGCCTACCTCTGATCCAGGTCATAGTTCTCCCAAAGGTGCTTTTTTCAAGAGGCAACTGGACTTTCTTTGTTTTTCTTTCAAGACGTTTCACTTCTCATCCAAGAGAACTGAAGAAGTTTTTTTGGATGAGGAAGCGAAACGTCTACAAAGAAAAACAAAAAAGTCCAGTTGCCTCTTGAAAAAAGCACCTTTCGGACATATAAGCAAATGCGGTAGGGCCAACCGTTGCTCAATGTTACAAAAGAAATACTGCATTTGCTCAAAAAAGGATGGTCCTCAATTTAAGATGATCCCATAGAAGGGAGATTAGACAGAGAAATCAGAATGAATTAAAAGCAAGCAGAAAACTCCTGTGTTTTGCCTAGTTTCTACATCTTGGGCATCAACATGGGTTATTGGTTTTAATCTGAGACCAGACCTGGGGATTTTCCCATTCCCCCCCCCCTCCAAATGTGTGCAAATATACATAGAGAACTCATGTTCTTTAAATAAACAAACAAGGACCACCTGGGACATAGAAGAAGACAGATGTACAATTGCAATTAATGGTCTGTAAATCAAGACACCACATTTACAAAATAAACTGATCTCCATCTGCACAGACCATTCGTTCTTGCCTACCCAAAATAATTTCAGAAACACATGACACAGACACAAACCCCCTTCCCTCCATCATTTAGCACAGGGCTCTCGAAAACTGGCAACTTTAAGACTTGTGGACTTCAACGCCTAGAATTCCCCAGCTAGCTGGCTGAGGAATTTTGGGAGATGAAGTCCATAAAAGACCCCTAATATAGGCAAAAGGGGGGAGCAGTAAGCCAAAGGGGTGTACTTCCCCAGGGCCAGAAGAACATAACTGAATGCAATAGAAGTTGGATTAGAAGGCTTCTAAGGTTCCTTTCAACTTTATGATTCTATTAAAAAATGCCACAGGAGAGAAACAATATAGGAAAAAAATCTGGAAACCACAAGAAAATACCCCCTCCAGTTAATTTTCAGCCTAATCTTCAAAGGCACTGTGCTTCATAGCAGTCGTGTTTACAGTCCCTTTTATCTCCTGCCTGTTCCTTTGTTTTCAACAGCTACTTCTCTTCTTATCATTAGAATGTAAGAGAATTTCTTCATTTCTCTTTCTATTTTTTGGGAACAAAACATCTGTCTTCCTCTCGGAGGATCATGACCCTTGATTCATTTCACTTAGGGAGACATATTTGGATATGCCTCATTAAGCTACCAGGCAGCCAGAACAGAAACCATAGGGCTAAAAGTTGGATACTGACAAACTGATGCGCAGATGGTCTCCCAAAGCACACAGTGAACTGTACACAGCTTAGGAACCTGTCGTAACTGCGCATAAGGAATAGAAGCCGACACAGCTGCTGACCATTTCTCTACTCATCGCTGGTACAAGGCAGGCCACATGCTCTAAGTGAATCATTGTTTAAATATGACTTTGTTTGACAGAACCCAGAAAAGTTACTAGATTTGCTGACAGAAGTGGGAGTCTAGATTAAGAAAGTCAGACATTTAAGTTTAATTGACGCTTTCAGAGAATAACTTAACTTTATACTATTTTATATAAAACTGGTTACTTGTTTATTCAAGAGAGCCTTGTGAAGATCAAAATCCAAATAGAAAATTAAGAAAAATAAAATAAATATTTTCTTGTCTAATGTATTGCTAAGTGGCCTAATATCTTCTCCCAAATGTTTTTTTTTCCTGAAAACGTAAACAGATTTTTCACTGTTTGACTGGAATGAAGTAAAACAGAAATTAGTAATGAGCTTAAAAAGAAAAAAGAAATTTGCATGGCATTAAATGGGGGACTGACTTGTTCATTGCTCTAAACCTGTTCTTCTCAATCTTAGCAACTTAAAAGATGGTTGGACCTCAACACCCAGAATTCCCCAATTAGTATGCTAGCTGAGGAATTCTGGAAGTTGAAGACCAACCATTTTAAAGTTGCTTGAGCTGAGGAACGCTGCTCTAAGCAAACACTGGCTTTGGGGAGCCAACCATCATTTTAAGTGGCATAATAGATGCAATGGGAACAAACCATCTATTCATGTACATTACTCAAGCAAAACCATGAGTAACTGCCAATGAAAGCAGTCACGTATCAGCTGATTTCAGGCTGTTAATTGAACACAAACCCAGATGAGCAAACAGCACAAGCAAGCATAAGCCATTGGGGTCTTTCCTTTTTAACAAGGGATTCCAAAGCTTCAATTTAATCTGAACATTACAAAGAACATAATTCAGCTCAACTTAGCAAAACATGGACGGATGCTTTGGGAAACTAAAGTCTGTTGCTTTAGTTCATCCACACATAGTTAACTATATATAGCAGTGTTTCTCAACCGTGACAATTTTAAGGCATGTGGACTTCAACTCCCAGAATTCCACAGCCAGCATTGCTGGCTGTGGAATTCTGGAAGTTGAAATCCATGTGCCTTAAAATTGTCAAGGTTGAGAAACACTGATATATAGCATATGGAAACCATTCTCTTAAGTAGGAGTCAAAGAAACGTAAGCCATTTTTCCATGCTCACCTTCGTGTTGGCGCACACTTTCCCCTTCCTAAAGTCTTTGTGGCAGCCCCTCTTATCCAACTTGGCCCAAAGAGCTTTTGCTTTCCAATAACTGAGCTTGGATTTGAGCTTGTGGTAGAAAGTACGATAATCCTTGGGCTTCAGCTCCAAATAATCACAGAGCTCTTGAAAGGCTTTTAGAGTCCCTTTGCAGGTGGAAGCCTGGACAAATCGGTCAAAGAGGACGTGGGCCTGGTTCATCTTTCCATTAATCCCCTCCTGCATGCTTCCAGTTCGGCCAGGGGACCCCCGGACAGCTGATATGTTCCAGTCTGCCTGTCTTCTAGTCCAGTATTTTGCTCATCAATAATTGCTTCTTTTACTCCATAAACACAATTAATCTAGAGAAAGGAAAAGAAAAAAGATTACTAGATAGGCACAGATGAATTTATATCTACATTCACATCTTATTACTGGCATAAAAAACCCACTCAGCTTATAGCTGCTAAACAGAGGGAAGGGCACAGAAAGGTCCATTCTGAATAATAAAGCCGTATGTGCTGCCTTCTATCACATCCTTAATTTCATCAAGCAGAGATTTCATGTTTTTAGCAAAATACAGGTTAGGAATTCTGTTTTTAAGGAAGACTTTTAAAACAATGCTTCGTGAGCTCTATTGATGTCTGTATCATTCGTTCATCATTAGTAAATCCACAATGCATTACTGTATCTAGGAGTTTTCTCTCCTCCAAAATGAAAGCAATCATGGAAAGCCGCACAACTATCAATGAAAAGTATACTTCCAAAACATACATAGTGTACTTCTTTCCCTGCTTCTTACTACACATCTTATTTTGGTCTATCAGTTTCAATCTCTGAGCAAATGAGGTTCTGTGATGAAAATAAGCAGAGCTAAAACAACTACTTTTATGTAGACTCTACAGTAGTCATTCTGCTGCTCCCTGATACCCTTGCAGGAAGTCACAAAGCCAAGGAAATAAATAGATTAACGTTTCTCCATTTTAATGTCTAATACAACAAATATTGAAAGATATAAGTCACATAAAACAAAAGTCTTTAGGACCCCCAGTTAATTTTAAGAATGTAAATGTACCAATAAAGGAGAATATTTGTAGCTCAAGGTTGAAATGAGGGGTCCTTGGAGCTCTCTGAACTCGGTTGTTTTCTTACAAATAGTTCATTATCCAAACTAGATAACATCATCAGTGCTAGTCATGGTGATGTTACCTAATTTGGGTAATGAAATGTCTGCAGGAAAGAACCAAGTTCAGAGAGCACCAAGGATCCCTCAGAATGTAAAGGGTCTTAAAGCCAAAATGTCTGAGAACTGCTGTTTCATGGCCCTCCAAGAAGAGCTGTTTTCACAATCAGAGGCAGGACAAAGAAGAAAAAGGAACAAAGAAATGCTGTGAAATCAATGGGATTTGCATATAGCCAACTCTGATTATACATCACAAGAGGAGGGTGACAGGGATTACAGCAGGGGTCTTCAAATTTGGCCCTTTTCTGACTTGTGGACTTCAACTTTCAGAATTCCTCACCCAGCGTACACAAGTCCACAAGTCATAAAAGGACCAAGTTTGAAGACCCCTGGATTACAGAATACAGAATAACAGAGTTGGAAGGGACTTTGGAGGTTTTTTAGTCCAACCCCCCTGCTCAGGCAGGAAATCCTATACCATTTCAGACAAATAGTTGTCCAACACTTTTGGAGGCAAGCCATTCCAATAATTATTTGTTCTAACTGTCAGAAAATTTCTCCTTAGTTCTAGGTTGGTTCTCTTCTGGATTAGTTTCCATCCATTGCTTCTTGTCCTGCCTTCTGGTGCTTTGGAGAATAGGTCGACTCCCTCTTCTGGACGGCACCCCTTAGATTTTGGAACACTGCTATCATGTCACCCCTAGTCCTTCTTTTCATTAAACTAGACATTATAAATTATATCCAGCAGCATTCATATAATAAACCACCAGCAAAATCTTTTTAGGAATGTATAAGCAAAGATGTTGCCATAAGTGTGGGTTAGTTCAAATATGCTGCTTAATTTTGGTCAGTGCAATTATGATTTACAAATCAACTTCAAATTACGGTGTTATATGGGTTATGGCTGACACTTGGAGATATGCTATCTTCAGACATAATGCTTAACTATAGTTTCAGAACTATTAGAATATATGTCTACATATAGCCACTAACATCATGAGGCATTTGGTTTTTTTAATACCATATTTAAGGAATATATTAAAATAGCAGAGGATGTGTTGAGCCTCCCAGGCAGAGCAACCTCCACAAATGATGGGGTTGTTATTTGTTCTGGACCAAACTCCCTTTTGACTTGCAATATGTGCCAGTTGAAAACCAAAGATTATATACATTGCAGAGCCAGCAATCCAATTCTACCCACTTAACTATGCTTTGAAAATGAGTTACCCATGCTGCATATCCCACCCACTTCCTAAAACAAAACCTAGACTAATTACATGACAGATTAGCTATTGTCTATTGTCCAGACATAGAAGTGCAGCTGTGTTGAATAAACTCCCCAAGCACTACCTTTCCCATTGTCCCTTTCCTTCTTTAAAGGCATTAAGGTATTGAGGAGCCTTATGAAGTAAGCCTTATATCAGTGGTTCTCAACCTTTTTAATGCCGCGACCCCCAACCGGTCATAAGTCGAGGACTACTCAACTGGTCATAAGCTGAGGACTACTCAACTGGTGCACCACTGTTTGCAGAATGGGACTTTTGGTGGGCTCAGCAGGGCAGAGACAGCCTGGCAATTCCTATTGGCTTTTGAAAGCCAATAGAATTAGACTCCATTCAAGAGAGTCTATTCTATTGGTTTTCAAAAGCCAATAGAATAAAAGGGAGTAGCACAGCTAAGGAAAAGGGGGAAAAAATGGTGGACTGCGTTATTTGGCGACCCCCTGAAATTGTCATTTGACCCCAAATGGGGTCCTGACCCACAGGTTGAGAACAACTGCATTAAAGTGTCTGCATCCTTTTAAAGTTTCCTATGCTGGTTTAGCAGATGTCTCCACATCTGTGTACAGGGGCAAATAACCTTTCCACTGGGACTCCGAGGCCAGTAAAGTAGTTATATGCAACCAGAGACAATTTATGATACAAACTGTATAACGATGCAGCTGTGCTAATGGTGCGAATAAAACTGCTCAATTGCATTGCCATGCTCTGCAAAGCTTGTTTTTCAAATGCTCTGTATAGCACAAATAGTCATCACTATAAAGCCACTAACAAGTGAGCAAAAAATAACAGCAGCTATCTGTTTCCTCTCTTCTGACTATTGCTGATAATCTAAGGTAAAAACCTATTTTTTAAAAAAAATATATAAACAGAGGCCAATAATAATTATTATCATCATCATTTAAATGTGTTTGCCCTGTTTCAAAAGATTCTGGGCAGTAACAGTAACAATAATAATAATGAGGAACTCTGGGCAAGTATTCTAAATCTTCTGATCCCTACTCAAGAATGTGTCTTCTCAGAAACCCTATCTGCATGTATTTCCAAACCTCTTTAGTGTGCCAAGTTACATTTATGCTCACCTACTACAGATAAAACACTTTATATATTAATAGGGATCATATACCAAAGAACACTCAGCAATTAAGTTCCAAATGAAATTTACAGACCAAATTCAAAGCTAAATTTAGCACATCGTATCCTCTGCTGCATCTTGCTTTGGGAGGAGAAAAAGACACTTTGCCTAACCTGGATGCTATAATAAGGTGTATAGGTAAAGAATTTCAAAGGAGGTTAAAACAGAAAGCCCTGGAATTCTCTCTTCTTCAAGAACCAAAATGTACTATATGCCAAGTCCTCAATAGAATCTCCCTCCGCGTATTCAGCCCATTCTTTACATGTGATCCACTGACCAACTGAGGCTAACCCTTCAGACATCTGTGGAAATGAACTCTGATCTACTCTAGAAAAAAAAAGTCTGCCAAAAGAAATTTGATCATCTTTACAGACAAGACTGGCTCTCTCGGCTAAGAACGGAGATGAGCACCACTCCCTAAAGCAGTGGTTCTCAACCTGTGGGTCGGGATCCCATATGGGGTCGAACGACCATTTCACAGGGGTCGCCAAACAACGCAGTCCGCCATTTATTTCCCCTTTTCCTTAGCTGTGCTGCTCCCTTTTATTCTATTGGCTTTTGAAAGCCAATAGAATAGACTCTCTTGAATAGAGTCTAATTCTATTGGCTTTCAAAAGCCAATAGGAATTGTCCAGGCTGTCTCTGCCCTGCTGAGCCCGCCAAAAGTCCCATTCTGCAAACGGTGCTGCACCAGTTGAGTAGTCCTCGACTTACGACCGGTTGGGGGTCGCGGCATTAAAAAGGTTGAGACCCACTGCCCTAAAGTCAGACACGACTGGACAGAGGAAATCTTTACCTTTTTTTTGCTGGTGTAATACTCAAAGCTTTGCATGATGCAAAGATGGGGCAGCCAAGAATTCCAGAAAAGATTGGAAATTCTGTTAGTGGGAAAACTAACTGTAATAAGCTGTAAGTCCTACCCCGTTCACCTGAGTTGGATGTACATACCCTCAAATTAAAGCTGACAGTCTGCAGTTAAAACACATTGTGTTTGTTTCATTCCAACTCCATTGTGGTGGTGTATAGAGCCAAAGATGTTCGAATTGTGTCACTGTCCCAATATTTCTGGACCTGACTGTACAGCCTATACTTCCATAATTTCCGTCCTCCTTCCAAGAGGAGGCACCCCCTCCCCGCCCCCTTGAATCCCAAGGGCAGGAAGATGGGAGGGAGACATGTCTGCCAAATTTCCAAGGTACTGCTTATGCATGTCTGGGCTGGATGTTGCTACGAGCCTGCAACATCTTGTATACTTTGTCCTAACATTGACTCAGAGCCTCTACATATTCCTTGGTCCATGCATTGGAGAGGAGGAAGAAAGGAAAGAAAGGGAACAGATGGATTTTTAATTCACGAGGAAAGACGCAGGAAGATCCTTTTTCCTCTGTACAACTGCTAGTAAGTACTCGTCCTTGACTCATGGCTCCATGTGGGTTCCAGAACAAAAAGGACTAAATAATACATGAGGACAGATAGCAAAAAGTCCCTAAAAGATTACTGCCAACCAGGTGTTGTTGTTGTTTTTTTTTGGGGGGGGGAGGGGGGACAGCTGTGTTTTGCAGCTTTACTTAACAAGCTTAAGGGAAATGCAGTATACTAATTTTTCTCCGCATGAATCTACTCAACACTTAGCACTCCACAGGCAGCAGATTGGTAATTGGTGCTTCATAATGCAGACAAAATGGCTAAAAAGTGAAAGGATCAATATAGTCTTACAAGCCTGTTTGACAGTTTCCAACTGAAAGCAAAGAGGTTGGGTCAGAG